AATATTATTAATCTATAATATTATTAATCTATAATATTATTAAGCTATAATATTATTAATCTATAATATTATTAATCTATAATATTATTAATCTATATTATTATTAATCTAGAAATCTATAATATTATTAATCTATAATATTATTATCACCGAAGTTCCTCATACTGCTGCGAAATGGTGGAACGACGCAGATTCGTCCAAGCAAGTAAGTAGTTTGGGTTAGAGAGGGAGTGGAAGAGAAAGGTACTGGGAGCAATGAATGCAATATTTGCGATTTTGAGTGTTTTCTTTGTACTAAAGAGTTAATCGTAGCCTGACGTCGTACTAAATCAATACCATGAGCAGAGCTGCTCGCGATGGTGCGCCATATGTTCACGCTTCCCTGAGTACGTCGATGCGATCGTTTTCAAAGTCCATGTTCTGTCTTTCTAGGAAGTTAATTTCGCTTGTAGCTGTCGTTTGTAATAACAAGCCTGCTACCTTACATTACTGCTATTTTAGAACTGTTATGCGTAAGCAAGGTGAGCGAAAAGATACATCATAAGTCAGTCACTGTTTATCAAAAACAAGGCTCTCTGTACATGCCTTCAACTCCTTCATACTTAAACATGGCTTACCAATTGCACTTTACAATCGAGAATGTCGATAAGGAAACGGCTTTCAATGGTCAAACCATCGATAAGTACTCAGTTTTGCCTATTTTAGAGCGTACGATTTCATTTGTTGCAGTTGCTCTCCAAAGGAAAAATAATCTTAATTTTTACCCGAAAGCGAGAAAATCAGACCAGTCATGCCGTCCTATTTGTATTTACACACGCTACCTACTGGATCCTTCAATGACAAGCAGACTCACACCCCGTTGTGCTTGTGCAAGAAATCATATTTTTCTGTTGTTTTAGACATGCGACGTTCTTCGTCCTACGAAATCCTACAAGAGTCGTTGTTTTACTTGTGTAACAAAAGTCCATGAGCAAAAGTGTCCCCCGTATGCCTGCCGCCACTGCCTCGGCTGCTTCCAAAACTACTGCTATACATCTGCGTGTCCGAGTCGTGTTGTATTTGCATGTCGAACTGTAGCCGGACTACTTGTAAGTAGTATCTATTGAGTAAGAAAAAAATCCGATTTTGCTCATTGTCGAAGAATTAGACCTATGATTATCAGCTTCGACACTATGCAGCACCAACATCCGGCCCTGCTGCCTTTGCCCGAGCTTTCTTTTTGTCGTCGTCGCCCGACGTATATTAGCGATAGTCGTGTTTCATCGTTGAGACTTGAGTGATTCCTTCACCGTTCCTTTTTCTTCAAAAACGCTACGCAACTAAGAAGTAACCAAGTAATTATAGTCGGAAGTCAGTCTTTGTAAACGGTTTTTGTGGAATCTACTTCGCAAAGCCTGACGAAAAATTGGCCTTAAGTGTAGTGCAAGAAGTTATCGCCTTGGCCCGCTCTTTTGGCGGCTATAAATTGCTCCTCCAATACCTCCTCAAATAGCGAAGGAAACAGTGGCTCCAAGAACGTCGCGAAGGATTAGAACAACGTTTCGAGAGGGGTCAACACTGATAACTGTAAAACATGAACACCTTTATCATTTGATCGCAATCGTAGATCTGTTCAAATTTTAATGTGCTTATGCACCTCAATATTGTATTGATGCATGAACTTCTTGCCCACGACGATCTGCAGTTGTCTCACGGCAACGACCTGACTACCACAAAGAGATGCTAACTCTGGTTATCTAATCATGAAGAGTTACGGATCGTGATGCTCTTAAATTGACGTGGCATGGGCAATCTTGGCGAAAGTATATTCGATATCGCGGGTCAGCGCGTAGGCGTCTATTAGCATTTTGCAACAAAATCAAGAACCTCCATTCCGTTGCACCATACTCCACAAGAAGCCAGTAAGAAGTACTTGGATGGAGTGAGTAAAACGAGGGAGGTTCTCAGTATTACATAAATCAAATTCAAAGTCTGTAAAAAACCAAATAAAGGCGAGCACTTTGCACTGATTTGCCTCACCAGAAAACAAACTAATAGATAAATATGCCAGGAGCCATAACTCTAAGCGAAGTACTATTTCGCAGAGCAGCTCCAGTTCTCCGTCAAATTCGGGAACCGCCATTTTCACCGTGACCACCAGGTCAGGTACCACTAGGCCATTCCGCAACCCGTTTCGCAGCCCAATCACTTCAAACTCTTCAACAGAGTAAACCAAGTACCAGCGGTATGAAAGCGGGTAACAAACAAGTTGTAGGACGACAGAGAGTACACCTATTACCAACCATATGAAGAAAGCAAGTAAGCAAATGAGATGTGGGAGGGCGATCGCGCCATTCATATTTCGAGAACATCAACATGATGATACACAGAAGGAATAAAAATCGACGTACCTACCGAGGACAAGAATCATACGCGCACACATTCAACGCTGTTCGTCGTGACCAAATTAAACGTTGAGCTAGACCTTATAAATGGTAGCGAAATTATGATTATCGGGACTCTGACAAATTAGTATAAGAAATCCCCACCAAAAACGAACGGTCACCATAAGAAGAAGACAAGCATTGCAGAAGGCGACGCGAAAATAACGCGACAACGCAGGTTGTCTGTGATGAATCGCTCGGGCACGAAATCCCCAGGGTCAATCTCTGCCTCAGACGATTTCCTCTCGGAGGGAGAAGTCACGATATCCGGTCGAGCCAGACTACTGGCGCCAGCGGCTATCGAAGTCACAGAAGTCGCAGGTCCACTCGCAGTATTCTTTTTAGCGCGACAAGAACCTGTCTTTCATCATTGTGAATCGACTGAGAGAATCTTGATAACCTGGTGATAATCTTGCAGCATGGTCTCGCTGTGGTCTTACCTTCTTCTGGAAACCAAACTGGAGCCACCGCAACGAGGACGACCCTCATACGGCGGATGATGAAACACAAGAACTAGTAACAGACGCTACCCATAATTATATTTGGTCCGGTGCTGGCGAAGCTGTGGTTGTCTAAGAGGTAGCTTTGCGATAGTGGGGGTCCACTATTGACACTGCCGAAGAGCCCTACCATGCCTGGCAAAAGGGTTGTTCGGCCATCCCCTTGATGGGCAGTACTAGGATCACCACCATCGATGTTGAAGGTTTTAGGTAGACGGTGCTCCATGTTGCGAAGTTTCAGGCTAGCCGCCAAATGCTCCTTCAGGTCCCCCATCTGCAGGCGACAAAAGTTTCCGTGTCCCACGAGTCTTGGCAAATGGTCTATTCCAGCGGACAGTCTTCGCTCACTGTCGTGCACCAGGTGATTCTCCCCGGGAAAAGGCTTGGCTTCTATTTTCGTTTCCGGGTTTTCTGCATTCCACCGCTCAAATACGGCGTCGCAGTGCAGGCCCAGATCGTCTATCGTCATGTCCGGCTCGTTCAATATTAGCGGTTATATCAATTTCTATTTCATCCATCCTAAGTAAGGAAGTTCATACTTCGCGGTAAGTTCGTCTACTTCTCAGCAATAGTGTCAGAAGCAGAAAACTGTAAGTGCAAAATCTGGGGACATGAATTATCAAAAGCCTTAAGAATAGGGCCACTGTTTTCTCGAGTACCGAAATAAAATGCGCTCGTCCCCACTTGGCCTGATCTGTGAAAAAGGTGAGCCGGTCTCGCTGCGTAGAACCTATCTTTCCGATCGCTAGGGAGAGCATGTCGATCCATTCTTCGATCCGCACTGACCTATTTCTCCACCACCACACACAGCCTCCGTAGTTAGTGCTTCCCTGTTGACCAACTACTATTCATATAGTTCAAATCTTCTACGCTGTTCCTAGTTAGGTAGAACATGGGCGTGCGGAATCTACGACGCTTCTGCCTCTACCGATATGAACTACTCAAAATACTATCCCCCGTTCTTGTGAAAGAGAACGCAACGGAAAACTATCGTTCATGTGCTGTTCAATATTACGTCAACTGGCGCCGACCCCTAACAGAAGGCTGAGGCAGGAGGAACGAAGCCGAGCCCTTTGGTCTTGGCGCTCCCTCGGGCACGGGCAAAAGCGTCTCGCGATCTTCAGAGAGCCGACTTCCTCCTTCTCGTCTGCTGCCTGCTACACTACTGCGGTTAGAATTTGCGGCATTGAATTCTTCGGGCGGCCTTGTTTTCTATTCGAAAACAAGCGACCCATCCTAATCAGCGGGGGATGCAATGTTGTGACAGATTCTTAATGCGATTACTATTCCACAATCGCGGTTCGCTCGCCCGCGACTCTCGTTCGTCTGTGGATAAGAATCTCACGCGGGACAAAAAGTTAGAGGCTTTGGCATGACATGGCACACGTCCCCTCTTGAGTACTCATACAATTACGCATACTACTACCTACGGAGTAGACTTCTAAGAAAGTAGTCACATCAATTGATACCGACAACTTCTGGGTCTGTCGCTATCTGTCTCAGGAAAACACTACCACTGTCTCAGATAGATATTGAAGCAGCATAGAATTGGTCGCTCGCGGATCATGCACCATCTCTGCGGTTTTGTTCGCAGTGAGTCTGACCGTCTCTGAGTCCGACGCGCTTTCCACAGTCGCCCTAGGATCGAACGGATCGAACCGCAGCACTGACAGCTTAGTAAGGCCATGGGAGGTTCGATTTTTGTTCTTCATTTTTGAGAAGACTGTTTGTTCCATGTAGAAAGTGTAGTATTCACGAAAAGGCGAAGCTACCTCAGAAACAATTACCTGACGAAAAAATCCGCTCTATTACCAAATCATGAAGTGCCGGTTGCTTCTGCTCTAGTTCCTAGCACAAGTGAGGACGCTTCCCCAGAAGGAACAGAGTAACAAGTTCACAACTACCGAATCGGAATAGGTGATTCGTTCGAGGTTCGACGCAATTAGGTAGACCTTAGACAAAACAAGAATTTGAATTCTCTAGACCAACAGAGACGAATCGGAATAGGTCATTACAATGAGGCCTTAAGCACGTTCTTCGCCGCCTTCATCTCCCCTGCCGCGTCTTCGCTTGAGCTGTTGTCCCTGTCCAACGAGGTATATGTGGAGTTTTCCTGATTCACTACTTTTACTTGATCTATGCTTTCGTCATCTGCGGTGCTTTGGCGACGAATCACCACGCCTAGTTGACTTGGGTGATGATCTATTGCGCCAGCGCGCACGAAGCCCATGGTCTCCACTCGCGCAGGGCCCTCTCCGTTGCCCGGAAAAGAGACGAAGCTACCCGCATCCCCCGCAGGGTGCGGAGGGTCCACGTTCGCCGCGTAAAAGTCCGGAATTTGCTCCAAGCTGGCAAAGACCGTGGGCGAGAGTTCCGCGTACAGCTTTCGCACTTCATGCAGAGTGTGGTGCAGCAACTCTTGTGCCTTGTCCGAGCGCGACTGCAGTTCCTGCAGCAACGAGACCAGCTCATCGCTCAAAGCCATACCCCTCAAGCGTTTTTCGGTGCTAGCCAGGAGAAATTAGAAGATGACTTTGCTTGCCCCTCAATTGCCATGTTGGATTCAAGATGCGTGGCTACAATTCGAGCGACCAAAGTCTCTCTTTCGCATTGTAGGAGGTGTGGCATTGTCCTCCTGAGTAGACTTACCACGTTGTACTTTCTTCCGCCTTCCAAAAATAATTAAACTTTCATTTCAGGGGGCAGCTTCATATGAAGACATGAGATCAAGCAGCTACTTCGAGTAGAACTGCTATTTTATGAAGACCTATTATTTCTTTGTGCTGAAAGTGGAACCTTAAGTGAAGTATCTGTCCAAAAGATGCGTTTGGAGTTCCAGGAGATCGCGCTCCATATCCCCGGAAACGATTTCGTTGATTTTCCTCTCGATATTTCTCGTTGCCGCGTTCCGGGGTCTCAGGAAAGCGATGATGTCCGCTCGCTTTCGCCAGACAAGAACCGAGCCAATGTTTGACAAAGCAAAAAGGCACAAGTAGCTGATCTCCCCATCTTCTTGAAAAAAAATACGGCAGAGGAGCGAGATGAGATACCACCACACTAACAGTGCCAGCAGCGACGCAAAGACAAGAGCGGCAACCCACAACCACGTGTAGACGAGCCACCCACTCGCGCCCCCAGCCGAAGTGAAGAAGCGGTCGCGATAGCTCGGGTCGAAAATGAAACGAAACGTGAAATGATACAATACCAAGAGGGCAACAACCGACAAGATCAGACACGGCACGATGTATCTGGACAAAAAGTCAATAGTTCGCCACGGAATGTGCAGGGTGAACCTACGAGAATCTCCACCGAATTCTCTGTCTACTGGAGTGGCGATGAAGATGAAGCGCGCTCCAGGGCTTCCCGTGAACATGTTGTCTGGGCCGGGCTTCACCCCATCCTTACCGTCCAACGTCCACACCTCCTTTCCCTCCTGCAGCTCGTCCAGCGAGACGTCCCGTCCTAAAATGCGGATGCCAGTTGGGAGACCCAGCAAGATCCTCCGCCGATCGTAGAAATCTTCCGCCACGAGGTGAAAATGGATCTTGTCCTTTGCAGCACCAGTAAACTGAAACACGAGCGCGTGACGCTCTCGGGGAGGTATTAGACCATGACTCAGGAGTCAGGTGGCAGCTTCCCAAACAGGCATCTTCCTGACACAGATGCAGCTGAAGCCTGATCTACCTTGATCATGATGACAATATGATGATATACCCAGCACGGGGTTTCATGCTACTGTGTTCTCCACCCTACACAGACACCCAAGCGGGGATTTGCATTTGGTTGTTGAAAACATATTGAAGGACATTTTGGGGCAGGCCAAAGCAGGGTCAAAGCTGGGTCGGTGCCCACGAGGACACTTTTCAGAGAGCTGGACCAATTGGAGCTACACCATTGTACATCAAGATCTTCTCCTCTTCTCTTCACTCCTCAACGTCCTATTCATAAGTTGACCGGTTCAATCCCTGGAGACGAGGTGAATACTGCTCTTGGCAGCATCACGGCTGCTTCCAGGGAATCGATAGTCTGGGATGACGCGTCACCTTTCAGAAGTCCTTTCAAATTACCGCCGACTGCTTTCGCACCTGCCGCAGCTGGGTGGTCTTTTGCCTTCGTCTCTTAGGATTAGACCCTATCAAATAAGAGCTTGAAGCTAATTTTTTATCGTTTCCTTCATGAGTCCCTGCTGCTTCTGAATCTTCACATGATCTTCATAAACTGTTGTGCCTACTTTTCCGGTAGCTTTGATTTTCGCAAGATCCCTTGACCCACCAGAAAAAGCCGTTAGCGCCGCGCCCAATGGAATCGCAGTGTGGGTGATTTGGTATGACGTGTCAGCTTTTTTCGCGTTCTGAGCTACTCCGCTAGCTCCCTCCGCCAGGCCCAAACCCGACGCTCCATTCTTTTTGTTCTTAAACGATCCTCCTCCTGCTTTCCATTGTAACCGCAGGAGAATGAAGGTAGGAGAAACAAGTAGACCAACGTTACTCGGACTTTCCGTTTCATCTCAGAACAACAGGTATAATAGCGTCCTTGAAGACATTATATTGATGCAGAAATAAATCACACACATCATCAACTTATTCAAAAGATGGTGAGGAGCAGAAAAAAAGAACGACTGTAGTATCTCTATGTCTCTTGAGTCACAAGTAGGATATGCGATTACAATTATCGTGAAGAGACAGAGACACAAACTGGCGTAGCTAGGTGGTGCTGGTCATTATCGGCGTGGGTCTTCGGATCGGAGAGCGTACAAGCGACCATATGTCGCTTCCCCCTTTCGAGAAAGAATCCCTTCGGCGGAACAAATTGCATCAAAAATTCCCCTGTATTGATCGCCCAGTGGAAGACTGACCCCTGCGAGGGTTGCATTGGATGCCCGCTCAGCGTACGTTAGACGTAGCCTTACTTTGACCAGGAGCCGCTGAAGATGTTCTTGCTCTGGATGCCCAGTCCTCAAATCTTCTGGTCAGGGACGCGAAGTAGATTCCCTTGTTCACACACTTCATTTACTTCGGAGGACGAATTAAATCAGGACTCTTGCACTTCACACGGGATAATGAAAATAGACTAGTAGCCGTAAGTACACTTGAGCTCCGCACCAGCAACAAGGCGGTCCGTACGTCCGTCACTCACCACGTGCAGCATATTCCAATCGCTCGTTGCTGGGTTACGTTCCGTCGGCTTAGGACCCGGATCGGCCTCTTCGACAAAAATTAAAATCCGAAAAAATCCACCATCTACGCCCAAGTAGAAGTGTCTTGGCCTTCATAGTTCGTTGTTCTGATGAAGTTCGTGAACTCAACGAGAACATACTCGACTCATAGGACACCTCACACGACTGGATGGGGAAACACTTCTGGTCTTAAAAGGATCTCTTCGGATACGTGTCGACCTGTATTTCCCGGATCGTGTACAAGCCTGCGAATGATAAATTGCCACTTTCCTACTCCGCCAAAAAACAGCTCGCCGGAGAGCACACCCGCTCGCCGCCTGTACCAAGGATAGCCTTTCTTTCCCCGTTCCCCGACTCGGCGGTACCTACCAAAGATATTACCCCACCCATTGGCCAGCACAGGGGTGCCGCTGAAAAGCTCCTGCTCATTCTGAGTCGTTTGGACATAGCCGCGAAATTTAGAACAGTCCCTTGAGGACTCAACACAACCATTCATCGACATGAGTTTCTTGGTGCCACGAGAGCAGTTTTTTCTAGTGCGACATCCACATTCGCTGACAGGCTTTTCTCTTTGCGCCAGCACATATTGTTCAGTGAAACACTATTCAATGGTCTCGTACCCCCCAAACGGGATACTCTTCAAGGAAGAACAAGAAAACAAGAGAAAAGCGTCAAAACAAGAACAACCTGGACTAATTACATTGCTTGGGATTAGAATTAGTTAAATAACCACGTTAAGAAGATTCATTCAAGGAGAAATATTTGGGCATAAGCATGGTGACCGTTACCACATCAGGCATTTCTTGAGGCACGATGCCGATGCGGCCAAACTATGAAAAGAGAGCCTGTTTTTGGTTGAAGGAGTATGATGTACACCCTATCAAAATGAGGAACAAAACCTGTTTGCATAGGCCCTGTTAGGCTGAAGGATGAAGCTGTCATGCTGTTGCCCCTGATGCAACTCTACTACGTACCTGTGAGGAACTATGAAGAATGAAGAGAAAACGTATAAGTCGTTTCGTTCATAATGAAACCATTACTCGGTTCGACGCCTCCGATACCGAATAGCCCAACTTGCCGTGGACCGAATTAAAACGCATTCCAGCTGTTGTCCTGCATCGAAGATAGGCAAGGGGTCATGAAGGCCTACTTAACGGTACTTATCTTGATGTGGCTAGACCGGCACCACTAGCATTGAAATGAGAAGCATACTATAACAATCAAGAACGAGAACGACGACGACCAAGAACAGAACATTAACTCCTTCTACCCCAGGAAGAAAGGTCGTGAATACACTGTTGACAACTTGTAATGATTAAGAAAAAATATCTGCTTACATGACCATCTACCGTGGACTGTAATTAGAGCTGTCCGTAATTCATCTGTCAAGTGCATCCTTGAAAAGTATGGAGGAGCATTCCCTTAGGATACTCCTCCATACGTTTCAAGGATGCGTCCAAAGATGTATTAGGTACAGCCTTAATGTAAATCAAGGGAAAAAGCAAAGAAGCTGTACGGCTTGAAAGCCAGCTGCCGGGTCTGATACGTCTTCGACAGCCAAAAGTAAGGCATGTTGTCGATGAAACAGGTGATGCGACACTCCACCCCAGTGCAACGCGTTGCCAGCTCCGCTGTGTGAATTCGTGTTACGCCCATTTTCTGCAACCGATGTTGTTTCACATGTCCGCCACACTCACGCATATCGTAGTAGGGGCGAGGCTGAAGTGTCTGGGCCGTTTCCATGAAGACGAAGATTTGCTTAACCTACTCATGTGAAGGACGAAAGAACGAAAAGGCAGAGAATAGCTACAGCAAGACAGCAGCAGACAGAGCTTGAATTAAAGGGAACAGCAGAATAATTGCAGCTCGAGCGATCTGAGTAGTTCTCTAAATGCCCACGAAGCTGCTTGTCAGAAATAACGTCGACAAGCCACGGATTTTCTTATCTAGCAGCTATTATTTCCATCGAGAGATAAGCCTGAGTGTGAGCGGGCTACAGACTGCCAATTCAAAACTAGTGAATAATTCCTATACTGATGTCATAACCTCGATGTCCAAGGAGTTTCCGGACGATTGCAGAGCCCTCTCAGAATTTTCATCCTGAAGGTCACTAAAAAGGCTGGAGGCTCCGGGAATGTTTCGGATTAGACGAAACCGAAGAAGACCAAGATCTTGATATTCTCTCGGACAAAAAAGTATGTCTCTAGAGCCAATTCACTAGCCTTTTCCGCAATGGCACGATAGTCACTGAATCTTTCTTGTCAGGTTGTGACATTTCTTGGCAAGTGAAATAATTTCTCAAAAATCTAAATGCTTCTAAAATAACATAATGAGGATCACCGTGAATACAATGGAGGTCCAACTGTATGTCAAGTAGATGTGATCGCTCCGACGGACGAGCAATTTCAGGAGGATGTACTACAGTCAGTTCCTCAAGAATTCTTAACGCAGTTTAGGGGTACTAGAAACTAAATCTCATACCGTTTAAAGCCAAGTAAGTAGATAACGATACAAGTAGTTTATCTTCACCTTAATGTAAAATCCGATGCTTTTGGCTCGCGAGTTATTTTCGGCGCAACCTGTTTCCTTTGGCACCCGTTAGCAACGACAGTGGACTCTTGAAAACATCGCGCTACGGTGGTATGGTGGCTTACCCGCAAAGAAACAGCAACCAAGTTTGGCCGCACATGAAAGAACAATTGATTGCAGGAACTTTCAGTGCTGAAGGTCAAATATCTATAGAGAGCTATATCCTGGAATGGAGATCACAAAATTACGACAACACTTCTTAGCACAAAAAAAAACGCGACAAATTCCTCCTACGAGTAAAGCCCTTTTAACATATTGTTCATAATCCACCATTTCCGCTGTCATGTGCGAGAGCGAAATCGTCGTTTGCAAGATTCGTATATTAATTCCGGTTACCGCCATCATGATGTCCATGCGACTGTTCCACATTGGAAATTTCAAAGTCGTTAAGAACTACGCAGCATAAAAGAAGCTAGCTAGAAAACACGAAAAGTGAAAAGCTCGACTTGCGGCTCCATTATTCGCTTCTTCACTGACTCTTTCTCAGAAGATGGCACGTTGATCTACATGTTGATGCTCAGTGTGATTCATAATTTGGGGATCGCCAAGAACTCATCTTCTTCTCGAAAAAATGGAGTAAAATGAGGAAGTTATTATATAAAGTGATATTTTAGAGCGAGCCGTATGTAAAGACCCAGCTGAGTGGACGTTCCCTGGTGGTTGTGGACAGCAGAATATTCGTACACCGCCTCTGGATTGCAAGTTTTAGATGGTGGAACTGATGTAGGAAGTGATGTAGTACTGATTCCAGGCCATTGTAGCGCGAGTGCTAACGGTTTGAGTGTTGGTTCTGGTAAGTGAACCAACACGCAAACGCTTAAACCACTGAACCAACTGCAGTTCGATTAATAAGTGAACACGCCAACACCTAAGCCACTAAGCGCAGTCGGTTCAGTGGTTTAGGCGTGGGCCTGTTCGCTCATCAGGTTCAACTTGGCTTTTCATCTGCAAGGAGCAAGACTTCTAGCAAGTCAAATAGCACACAGCTTACTTTTCTTGCCATACAAGGATCAATCAGAGATAATCCATGCACTGTCCAACCCTGCGTCTGAACCATCAGCCAAGAATTCATGGCATCCCATCCTGAGGCCCATGCGCACCCTTTCGGTCGCGTGATAGTGCTCTCCGCTCGTCCTTGCATCGACGCGTCGGCTCGAAAAGCTGGTGAAGGTTGTTGCTTTCTGCGTAAATTAGCTCGGGTAGCCGTCTTTCATCATCCTCATCCTGCTTGGTGACTGTGAGTTTGATGTTCGACTGTGATTTTACTGTTTGACTAAGTAAATTACCGAATAGTCCACATTTGCCTTCTTTTCCAATAACCAGGTGAGTAATCTACTAGAGTGGGATGATGAAGAACTAGCCGTCTTAAGTGAGTAGAAGTCGTTGGAACTGTCTGCAGCTCGTACCCCTAGCGTAGGATCGCTGGAACTAAAAAGAATGTCCACAACACCACTGACGGTCAAAATCTGAGGCGGCAACAGCACCCCGACCGGAGAGCCTCCTTCATCCATGATGCTATCGGCGTGAGCCTTGAAAAAAGTGGCGCTGCTTACCTCTTGCTCCCGCGACTCGATCAGCTTCTGACGCGTGCGCTCGTCGGAGGGAAGGAGCTGCCGCTCCAGCTGAGAAACGTCGGGCAAGTGCTGCGGTGCCGTTAACGCAACACGCTGAGCGGCCGTCAACAGCGTCGCAACTGGATCGGCAGCTACCTTATCCTGGACTCCGGTGGAATCGCTCCCCGCGTGGCGGTAGTAGACGTCACCACGATCAAGAATATTCTCGAAGATACGAATGCCATTGCCCGCGAAATATGAAGACTATGTCATGATAGTGCCATTTTGCGTAGACAGACTTTGCGTAGACATTCAGTCGCAGAGAAGATTATATTATGCATATGTTGACTGGTAGAGATTTGCTGGTGGTGGTCGTAATATTCTCAAAAGCTCGACTTGTACTTTTTAGATTAAAGACGAAAGTCACTTCTAAGATCCGGCTAATCTTACTTCTTTACGCGCTAGTAAACAAGATGTTGCTATTTGAGCCTTTCCCCCTTCTCATGTTTCTTCTGACCCCTTGTCATAAAAGCGCTATGGCAATCACACTCCGGCCGAAAATTCCGGGACGTCCAGTAAGCAGGGCCGCTGTAGCTGCGCGCTCGGTCACTTCTTGTTTACGTTTTACGAGCAAAGTTCTTGATGCGACGTCATTCATCTCTGGTGCAGCGATTTCTTCTTGCTCGTTTATGTTCCCGTCCTCTCCCAACTCAGGAGCGTCCTGGTTTCCCGCATCAATAATCTCGCCATTGCTGTCCCCACCTGTAGTATCCCCTGCTAGAGCGCCTCATCTTAGAGATAAAATATAAACGAAGCGTCGCACGCTAGCAAGTTGACGCGACGATGCTAATGATTACACTGGTATTCAAAAAAATCATGGCAGCCTCAATCCTCGACTACCTCCGATGAACGAGCGAGGAGTAGAGAAGGCGGCAGGTACAGAATCACGAAGAAACTCATGAAGTTCGGAATTCATACTTTCACTTCCTGTTTGAAGATGTGTCTACGCCACACACAACTTCAGATCTCTAACAACGTTACCGATTCTCTTATGGATACTGCTTAGCCTCCCCGTAACCTATCACGACCAGAAGAGTCACACAAGGCCCACTTTTTCCTTCTCAAAGGTGGACAAAATTAGCTTCAATCCTCTGCTAACCTAAACGGGATTTTCATGGGTCATCACATCCATGGAGGAGTTTTCGAGTTCAGCACACTGTAAACGAAGCCACCACGTCGGAAGTAAAAAAGTAAAAAGTAAAAAGTGCATCAACGTACAGCGGCACTAGTTCATCATCCTAAGAAATCAGAATAGTCAATCACTTAAATAATCAAGTAAATACCCACCACCATCCAAGTAAAACTTAAACACCCACCACCATCCATAAAACAGGTAAGTAGACACAACAACAAGCTCCAACTTTCTTAAAGCTCAAAACTTAAACACCCTCCTCCATCCAAAACGAAAGCAAGTAGATTTTTCATAGAGTGGCAAATTTTCAAAATCTGTTTTTTATCAAAGACGCAAACACGTATAGGGATCACAGGGACTTACATGGCTAGTCATATATGATTACGCAATCCTCCACCATCCATATAGCAACAAGCAAACTCAAAAAGTGAGCTTATTTATACAAGCCACCACCATCCAAAGAGCCGCACATTACTAAAAGAAAAGACAACGCCAGAACTATTTTTACTCGCCAGATTTCCATTCATATCCGAGCCGTTCCATTTCACCTTTTTATTCTCAACAGCACAACACGCAGGTATTTTACATCCAAGAATTCCAGGAACTGTAGAGCACTACTTTCTTTCAGTTTTCAAGACAAACACCACACCGCCACGGCCTTGCAGTTATTTCTTCCAAGAACAAACAAGGTGATAACAAAGGAACCTCTTCCAATCGCCAAGTAAAAATTGAAACACTACGGACAAGTTGGTCCTCAGCCTACAGTTCTATATAATTTCAGTTTAGTCACGAATACACGACAAGTCAGTTATGCTAATGCCCATGCACTGGGATCACACCCGTATAGGGGGCCAGTGTCATGGGCGGCGTTAAGTACTACCATCAGATCTAAACTAAAGCTAACTTTTTCTATCAGTTGGAAAGGTAGGCAGGCACATCCTCTTTTACTTCAACAGGTTCCATTAAAAAGTCTCTAAGTAAGTAACAAGTTTCCAAGTTCTAGTAGTGTAGTTATCAAGATGACAGAGGGACGCTAGACAGTGAGCAAGTAGGTAGTAAGCTAGTTGCCTGCTGTTCTTGGATCGTACAGTTGAGCTTTGAGTTATAGAAACGTAAGGGAAGGGGCTACGAGCATCACTTTGATTAATTAATAGAGAAACGCAGACGGTAGGCCAATTCAGTGTATTTCCTATGTATCTTTTAGCTCATCTATCTAAGTACTGGCTTCTTTTCTAGTAAAAACTATCTAAGTACTGGCTTCCTTGCGTTCTAGTAAAAAAGAGCATGCCCATCGTCATAGTGGTTGAGCATATGGCCAAGCTCCTCTAAGACTATCTTAGCGGGGTGCTTTTGTCTAATCATTTGGCCAACTAGCTTTTTAATGCTATCTATTGGCGGTATGGTGCTGTTTAGTCTAAGTCTTGCTAGATGTCCCCTCACAACCCCTTTAATTCTAGTCCTCATCCCGGCACTCAGTGCCGAAGCGATCGGCTTACCCGTCAAACCAGCGATCACTTCGATTCTCGTACCACTAGGGGAGGAGTTGTCCACTAGGATGTCCAAACCACAGAAATTAGTATCGTCCTCTTCGTCTTTTACTAATGTGCAACCAGGGTAGAAATCGCTCGCGAGGGGGGTCGGCGTGTCCGTTGATCCGGAGTCTCTTAGTCGGAAAGCAGTCTTGTCGTCAGCGTATCTCCTTCCGGTTTCTCCTGGTGCTGCACCCTTTTCCAGTTCGACACTGATCGCAAAACCATTTGAGAGCGGGGTGCTAGTATAGGAGCCCATCGGGGCGCCATTAGCTTGTTTGTAGATCGAGCCTAGTGCCCGCACATAGCAGAAATTTACGTCATGCCGCAAGATATCAGCGACTTCATCTAAGCGGGCATAGTCGTAGAAGCGTGCGCCCGGTTTCTTCTTAGTGTAGGCGATGGCCTTGGTCCTCTTCTGCAGTCGTTTCCCTTTCTGGACAAAATAAGTCTTCGCACGAGCACCAAGCGCATGGGTAACAGGTATCAGCGCCTTTGCTGCTTTACTCACTCGCGCATAATTAAACCCAGCCAGACGTCGAAAGTTGTTAATGATGATAAGGATCCGCGCGAGGCTCCTCTGGAGGTCACAGTTGGTGAAGGATTCACCAATATCGCCGGTCTCTGCATCCACCATGATACGGAGCTGCCGCGCCTTCTCTTCAACCTCCTTTACATACCTCTTAATGTTCTCCGGTGAAGTCAAGAAGCAACGGGCAGCACGTGGGTCACGTTCCATAATATCATTAGCAACTCTGGCCGCGGTCTGGAGGATGTCAGCGAAACAGTGGCCCACGTAGCTAGTCAATGGTCGATATTTCACGTCAATAATCTGCCGCGCTTCTGGTGGTAATAGCAAGATCTTGCAAGACTTCTTCTTCAGTAGCATACGCATGGTCGCCCATCTATGTTTAATCTTCCTCCTGATGTTGTTGTCTGGGAATAACCAAAGGAATGCATTCTCATTATCGCGGAAAAGGCTGGCAAAACCTGGGAGGTGTTGGCATGTTGGTGGTTGCGTATGCCTCTCCGTTAATCACCTCAAGATATGCGGACAGGTGCAGCTCATATCCACATCCTTACCCACTAGGTCATTATTAACAACTCTACACAAGTCTTGATATTCTCCTCTGATATTCCTAGGCCGTATGCCATACTTCTCGCATTCCTGGGAAAACTCAAATGACGCGCAGTCTAGTACTGGCCCCAGCGGGCCCAGGTCGCTGGTGTTGTTGAGGGAGGCCGCAAATCGCATGGCAAATTTTTTCAAGGCAGCCCTCGTAGTTAGTGGGCTGAGGAGTCTACTCCTTGTGTTCCACTTCCCAACTTCTTGATCTGTTGCAGTGAAATCCTCATGGCCCAGTAGCTCTCGGAACTTCTCAAGTGTCGCCATAATGTGCCCTTCAACTGTATGAGCCTGCAGCATGGGGTATCTGTGTATGATATTCTCACAATTGCACGCATGAGCTTCATGGTCGTCCCAGTTGCTTTTCTTGAAGAAGTCGGCCACTGTTGGGCCTGCTTTCGATTTGATGCATAGGCTCACAGCAGGCGCGTCATCGGTGGCAGATGCGTAGTAGATAGCTCGGAGTGCCGCAACATAGTCCCAAAAATTCTGGCTACGTTTTGTCTCGCCTACTTCTAGCACGAACCTTCTAACCTTCTCGGGGATGACCTTCTTCAAGTTCCTAATAAATATCTCGTACTCTGCTCCTCTAGGATGTGTTTCGCCCTTCTCGTCAGGATAAGCGGTCTAGTAGGGGCAGCATCAAGGTAAGCGCTTACTATAGGGGGGAGCAGGAGAGGCAGTATCCGTCTTGAGAGGAGGACACATATGCTGGTAGTACGGGACGCAGCAGCAAGGTCAGATATATCTACTGGGTGCACTTGACGTGGTGGGCCGACTTTCTTCCTACGACGCAGGAGGCGTTTCCTCTTGGGCATGTTTATCAGCGTCTCACTATGGAGGAGCGCCGACGTGTGATAGTCGTTAACGCCCTGGGTGTTCTGGGAGGCATGGAACTCGTCAATCAGGTTCGACTCGATCGCGCGGGCCTGCTTCTGTGGTGTTGCTTCTGGCAGGTAGACTATTGGGATGAACATGCACCGCCAGAAGTCAGATGTATTCCTATAGAAGAACTGGGCCCCGACAAAGGCCTTCCTCATATGCCCCGTAGTGCGTGTATCGAAGCCCTTGACGGTCTCGCCAACGTGTGCCTTTTTCGAAAAAGGCTGACACGCGAGGTAGCACACTTCCGATGGCCCGCGATTGATGTCAGAAGTGTTGTTGTATTGGTCCAGCTTCCGCTTAAGTGTCCGCTGTCTCCAAGTATCACCCAGATTGACGTGTAGTCGGGCAGTGGTGTCATCGATGGCAAACAAGTTCTCGCGTGCCATGCGGGGTAGTGACCCCTTCACGCCTCTCAAGGTCTTAAGTCTTCCACTCGCTGTCAGGAGGTCCATCTTCACACAGTCACAACAGAGCTGGCCGTCGCTGCCACGATTGACCTTCCTAATTCTACCGCAGGCCCTGTTGAACGTGAAGGCGCACTTGCAGTAGTGCTGGGAGTTAGTGCATCTCGGGCAGTTTTTATAAGACGTCGCGTTCGTCACTAGCTGGGGCGCGAAGTTCCTCACGAAGATCAAACTCGGGAGCACCTGTTTGGCCTGATGTCGCAGTCGAAACCAGTGCGGTGCCCATTCAAGGACTTCCATCGCTAAAACATAGGAAAAATTATCTGCATACTCTGAGTCTGCAGGTACTCGGGTGCGGCAATCTAGCAGGCAGGTCCAAAGTGGCCTACCTGATATAAAATCATCGCTGACGTAAGGGCTAAGCTCCGGGGAAATGCCAACTGGAATCTTTCTTCTTGTTCTTGTTGTCCTTGTCATGCTCATGTTACTAATCCTACTACCACTTCTCATTTCTTCACATCTTCCACTAGAATTTTCTACATCTACCACCATCATCATTTTTGTCAGGAGGAGAAGGCTCCTCTTCCAGTGCGTCGCGAAGACGACACCGCACCATTTGGCTGGGACGGGTTAAAGGAGAAGGCGCCCTGGGTGTCCATCTGGATGAAATCGCCATCGACACCCAGGCCCAACAAGTCCGGCATCTCCTCCAGGTCAAAGATTTCACCATCAACCGCTTCCCAGTCATTGCTGCCACCTCCTTTTCCTCTTGTCGTCGTTGTAGTTGTGGTTACTCCCATCTCAACATCTCTGGCGCCACCAGCTTGATCCCCTTCGTCGTTGTTGCTGTTGCCGGTCAAGAAATCCGACACGAAGTCCTCCGCGGCCTCAGAGAGCGTCTCCTCACACTTCTTACTACCACGAAGGGGCGAGAACTCATCGCCATCCTCCTTACCATTGTCGCGCGCATAGCGCTCAGCGCGCTCGATGGCCTCTCGCTCCTCCCTCTGCACGGCACGCAGCTCTGACATGACACTCGTGGCAGCGATAACGCAGAAGAGAGAGTGCTCATCATTCTCACGCAGCTTCAGCTTCGCCCTAACGCCATCGATGTAGTTCTCTGTTGTGTGGTTCTTGATGATAGCTCTCACTTTCTCAGCGATCTGCGAGCCCACCGTAGTCGCACTCAGCTGCGTGGTGGAGTCTTGGTGTTCCGCCAAGCACTCCAAAAGGGCCTCCCGGCGGCGGGTTATGGGCTTAGCTGGTTTCTTACATGCCAGCTTCGCCTGGAGCACGCTGATCTCATTGCCAGGAGCCGTATCAAAGTGCTCAGCCTTATTATCAAGCGGGTTGCGGCGGATCTTATTCTTGATGAGCTGTTCAATGGTATCAGTATAGGTCTTGTGTAGCAGGTCGTCGCAGGCCTCAGTCTCCTGCTTCAACTGCTTGGCCTTAAAGTTCTTAAGTGCCTCTTCATTCTTCTGGGTCTTAGTGCGAGGAGAGATGTCTGCAGCACTAGTATCTTTCATCTTGCGATTTTTCGCATTCTCCTTCGCACTAATAACGGCATTACTGAGCACTTGCGCCAAGGGGCTACGTTGTGGTTGTTGTTGTTGGATGCTGCGCGCCGCTGTAGTAGTCGTGGCGCGCCTCTTGTTCTGGGTGGAGCCACTACGGTTTGCGATCTTATTGTAGTGGAGATTGTTGATGTTGTTACTAGAGATAGAACTAGATGAAGAAGCAGAAGAAGCTTGGATGTTGTTGCTACTTCCAGCGCCCCAGTTGTTGCCGGGTCCCATGTTCTTCGGGTTATCATGCTGGCCCTGCACTTGTCGCTTCTCTAGGCTTTCCAGTCGGTTGGAAACATTGAAGACGCGGCTCGTGATCTCTTGGCCAAACAAGCCCAGCTTCTCGCCCATAACAGAGATGAGGCTGTCCTTCAGGTCGCTATTCTGCTTGGCAAGTTGCTGGCCCTGGTCGACATGCTCCGCCATGGGCTTCTGTTCTGAGATGTCTAACTTAACAGGTAGCGACTTCAATTTCTCATAGATGTAGCTAGCACGTGCTGGGTCCGTGATGCGAAGACAGATCTCCTGGATGCACGTAGCGACATCTGAGGGGCAGACGATCAGACTGCACGTCGGCGCACCACCTGGCCCACCATCCTCCAGCAGTTTCTTCATGACTGCCTTCGGGAAATAGAAGTCCTTCGTTGGATAACTGGCCGCCTTCATCAGGTCGCGCACGCCACACACCTCCGCAAGATCCTTCATCGTGCTGATGGCCATCGGGAAGATCTCCTCCTCCTCTTCTTGGGCTTTCTTCATCATCATCGCCGGGACATGTCCACGCGACTTCTTTGCTGTAGTTGTTTGGGCGGTAAAACCAATGCTGCTACTACAACTAGGCGGGATAAGATTTGCTTGCTGTTGACCCTGGATTTGCACCACTTGGCTCTGGTTGTTATTCCCCTGGTAGACTTGCATCTGTGACTGTTGTTGTGGGACATTCTGCACCACCGGGCTGGTATTACTTAGCACCAGTAGCAAAACTCCGCGTCTGCGCTTGTTGCTGATGTTGCTGCTGCTGTTGTCCTTGTCCTAGTTGTTGCTGCTGCTGATTCTGTCCCGGTGTCGACTTAGGCTTATGGCCGTTGTTCGCGTTGAAGCTACCGATGTGGGTACTAGTCAGATAGGAGGGGCACGGGTAGCAGTTCTCATTTTCGACCTGGTTGTTGCGTCGGAGCCATGAGTTCATATTCGTCAGGTCTGCATACTGGTGGCTGAGCTGGCAGCTGTCTCCATTGCTGCAGATCCTACCCTGTGCGGCATCGCGGCAGCTTTTAACGTACTGCGCGTTCGAATTCATGCTGGGCGGGTGCAGTTAGTAGTCCGCAGCTGCAAGATATGAGATCAACAAATTGGACTACTGGGTAGGAGTGTCACGCGTTAGCAAAAAGCCGGCCCTGCTTTCCTTAATGCTTTAGAGAGTCACCACGAGGAGATAGACACGCTTCACTAACGTTGCACATTATCCATTTTCTTGATTTTTCAGCTGTTTTCAGTGCTTGTTTTGTTATGTGTTGGACCTTAAGTATGTTGCTGCTTCTTTATATGTAGTCGCTGTGCTTATGTGTATCAGTGTTTATGTATGTCAGTGCTCGTGTGGCAACTTAGTTAGTGTCAGACATATATCTACCCGTGTGCAAGGTCCATATAGCCTAAATAATCACGACCAGGAGAGTCATACAAGGTCCACTTTTTCCTTCTCAAAGGTGGACAAAATTAGCTTCAGTCCTCTGCTAACCTAAGCGGAATTTTCATGGGTCATCACATCCATGGAGGAGTTTTCGAGTTCAGCACACTGTAAACAAAGCCACCACGTCGGAAGTAAAAAAGTAAAAAGTAAAAAGTGCATCAACGTACAGCAGCACTAGTTCATCATCCTAAGAAATCAGAATAGTTAATCAATTAAGTAATCAAGTAAATACCCACCACCATCCAAGTAAAACTTAAACACCCAACACCATCCATAAAACAGGTAAGTAGACACACCAACAAACTCTAACTTTCTTAAAACTCAAAACTTAAACACCCTCCTCCATCCAAAACGAAAGCAAGTAGATTTTTCATAGAGTGGCAAATTTTCAAAGTCTGTTTTTTATCAAAGACACAAACACGTATAGGGATCACAGGGACTTACATGGTTAGTCATATATGATTACACAATCCTCCACCATCCATATAGCAACAAGCAAACTCAAAAAGTGAGCTTATTTATACAAGCCACCACCATCCATAGAGCCGCACATTACTAAAAGAAAAGACAACGCCAGAACTATTTTTACTCGCCAGATTTCCATTCATATTCGAGCCGTTCCATTTCGCCTTTTTATTCTCAACAGCACAACACGCAGGCATTTTACATCCAAGAATTCCAGGAACTGTAGAACACTACTTTCTTTCAGTTTTCAAGACAAACACCACACCGCCACGGCCTTGCAGTTATTTCTTCCAAGAACAAACAGGGCGATAACAAAGGAACCTTTTCCAATCGCCAAGTAAACCTATCAATTTTGACATAAGAGTAGGTTTTCAGCTGCGTTCATCGAATTCGTGTCAGGCTCCTGGGCGTCCATCTTGCCCGCCGCAGGTGCACCCTGCATTGCTGCAAGTAATCCACCATTCTCCTTGGCAAAGAAACCCCCAGGGGCTGCAGCACCCGCTGCGTGTCGAAGCTGTTGCCGATTAGACAAAGGCGTGACCCGATGAGTACTTCCGATGTAACGAGGGCAAAACAGCCGACTAGTAGAATATATTTCATGAACAGACGGTCCGACTTAACTTGAGGTGACGAGAAGATTGCTCGCTCTCCGTCGAAACAAGCTGGGACGCTGCACATTCCCTGTGTAACAGCCGTGACACGATTGCGAAAGAAGAAGACCGGTTTCTCGTGTGCAACCCAATCCGAAGTATGAATCTTGTGACTACCTGGGGAGCTAGTACCCTTCGCGTCGGTACAGCATGCACATTCACATATAGTCGTAGCATAGATACATGTTATTCCGGTGAATAGATTATCTTCATGAACATAATCATTCAAAACCGAAGTCGAACCAATTGCTTTGAAAAATTATTGATATAAATATCTCGATCTCTTACAAGAAAAAAAAAATCAAAACTGCTGAAACGTTGTGGACGCTTCAATTCACAAATCATCGTCGCATTCAGTAAGCGGTTTCATCAGGGGCCGCCATAAAGCAGGGTGTGGTACTGCAAAAATGAGCTATCCGCGCAGTCTTTGTGCGTCTCGAATACGATTGGCCGAATCACCAGAGATTTTTGACTTTCGTCGCTGGGCGCAGCAGGCTCAACTTGTGTCATCTCGGCAAAGTCGTCCTTTATCGCCGTCTTTGCGAGTACGGTGCGAACCTGCTCAAGAACGTGGTAAAGATCGGCATATGAAACAGAAGAGAGGCACATACAGTAATGAAATAAATTTCAATTAATCATGGTATCATGAGCAATAAGTACATTCCACAGTTCTCTACCATAATTTTCAAGAAGTTTCAAGTACGGCAAATTGAATGCGAAAGCCATGTCTCACATTCTAGTCCGACCGAGACGTTAAAAGGATGGCATTACCTTGTTGGAAGGGCTAAATCTCTAGAGGTAAAAACTAACCGGAGGATGACATTACTTTCTAAGCATCGTATACTACATATGCATCCAATACTAGAAGCATAACAATGCATTCACGGTAGAAATTCCTTGTGCCGTGCGCGCCCAGAACATAGAGGGATCATCTCCCTGCTCCGTCGCGCCTGTTCTTGCGAACATTTGTTAGAGCCCATAGCTTCTCGCGTAACGAACAATCAAAGGAGCTAGCTGCAACATTGATGAATCACATCTAGTTCATTCATTCACATCCGTAGGAGAAGTACTACCAGTCTACATCAAGCTCGAAGTTATCTTTACTTAGTTCGATTCAGCAAAGCCTTCTAATCATATCTCGCTCAACTTAAGTCAGCGTTACTTCCTTCAGAGACTGCTGCAGCAGGTAATTCTGCATCGGTGCCATCGGGGGGAAACGCATACGAGGGTCCGCCGACGAAGCTTCAAATGAAACAAGAAGGACTCGCTATACAGTACTACTACTACCTATATAATTCGATGAAGGCATCACTGAGTAGTTGCTATCTCCTCTCTCTCTTTTATCGTAGCTTGTTTTTCGAGTGTCGGACATATTTCGCAACGAAGATTTTCTATGAAACTGGTCTTAAGTGTTCTGCGCTCCCGCGTAAGCGGAACAGCAGTGAAGCTTGAAATGTCGCCACCCCACATGCCGCTACAGAATTTGCCAGGGGTGCAGGCCCGATATGTAGTCTCCCGTCGTAGGGGTGTGTATCGGTCTCTGGGCCCACCCAAAACTCAACAAGCCGCGCCGGATAATAAGGAGTGACATCCTTAGAAGTGATTGCAACAAGACCTCGTCTTGTAATCACGATCGCGACCACTTCCTTGTAGATTTAAAAAGGTCGTCGCGGCTACATTTAAGTATTCGATCTCCCCGAAATCGATCATGTGCGAGGAGTAAAATGTCTTTATAGCGCGGTTCTAATTTCATTGATGCACGTTGATCGTACTTACAACATCTTCGAAAGCTGATGTCTACAAATCTTGTTTCCATAGACAGAGATTTTGTTTTGCTCGGGTGAACTGCGTTATACCTCAACGAGACGAGATCGCTCGTGGACGCCCATCCGCAATCAAAAAAAAGACCTACTTTCGCCGCATATCGTTTTCCAAGCGCAGAGGCACGCCCATCGAGAAGAGCTGTCGATAGAGCATTTCCTAGTCTTCCTAGAATCTCACGTTGATGCCCCTAATATAACTGTACTTAGTCACCACCTAGGAAGCATCTTACTAGAAGGCTGCTTTTTCTGGTCGACAAGTCAGCGCATGTACTCTGAAGAAGATAAACTAAAGTGCCCAAGAACAACAGTAGACAGCACGTCCTGGTGACTTTCGAATTCCCATGGTAGTTAGTACATCGAAAATATCTACTAAAAAACTTGAAAGCACATGTAAGAGTGGTTGTGGTGCTTAGTTTTGATTATAAATCTTCTGCCGCTATTATTGACATCAAAACTTAGGTAGCGATGCCGCTACGATAACATCATCAAATGATCATACTACAGCAATACCATGCGTGGAAGCAAGAGCTACGGTAACTGCAACTCCGATGCAACGGTCTCCGAAAATAAAGAGTGAGGTTGCACGGAGATCACAGTACCCAGTGTCAGTTGACTGCGCCAGTTCCCGTGGTTCGGTTATTCCGTCATACTTAGAATACTACACGATGAAAATAGTGTAGACCCTGTTGAATCAATAGAAGTCTAGCAGTTCGTGCAATATATTGACTTCGAGCTTTTTGTCCCCTTCAAGAATGAGATATAGGTGTTCCTTTGCTATCCTCATGATAAGTCCTCATGGACTAGCACAACGACTGAGAGATAGTCTAGACATTTAGACCTGATAGCTAAGTCCAGCAAGAAAACCCATACGCAAGAGATACAATGAGAATTAAATAGACCAGGACCTCAAATTAACGCCGATTATTGACTGCACGGATTAAGACGGAGGAAAATTACGCAGTTACTTTCTAAATATCAAAGAGCTAAACTCAAGAACAACACCGACCCCGCCAAACTCTCAACCTTCAACTTCCGTGCCCAAACTCTTCCACTTCTGGCTCACGAGCTCACAAACTCGCAAACTTTCCAAGCCTTCCAAACTTTCCAAACTGGCTCGGGAACTGGTTAGCCCTGACCTCGCGCAGATGGGCACGAAATCTAAACCCTACGCGATAGAGTCAAAACCTTTACAATTTGAACCCAAAAAGTTGAAAATGGTTCGGGAGTTGGTTAGCTCTGACCTCGCGCAGATGGGCGCTAAATTTAAAGCCTACGCGATAAAGTCAAAACTTTTACAATTTGCACCCAAAAAGTTCCAACTTTTCAAAAATTCACGGCGATGCCCAGAAGTTTCTAAATTTTATAGCTACCAAAAGAAGAGCACACCGACAGGCCAACGACTTCAGTCTGTGCCTTTTTAATCAATGGCCGCACGCCGTCCCCCGCCCAGCTCTTCTTCCAACGATCAACGCCGCCAGACGGTTGGCGGGCGGGGGAAGAGCCGGAGAAACGGAATCCCGCCGGGGTTGAGGAAGTGCGTGCCAGGGGTGGACGATCCTAGTGGGAGGAGTGCTACCGCCCGCTCAAGTCTAGTAAACTAAAACTTTTTGACGTCTAGGTCTATGATAAACGAGGATAAAACTTGTGGTTGTGCTTAGAGCCTTAGTGTATAAAAGACCCGGACGTCGTCCTGCGAAACCGCATATGCCCAGGCCCAGACGCTGACTTGCACCATCGGCACCTGTCGCGGCACTGCCTTGTTCTGCTGAAGCACATGAATTTCCCTACTTTTTAACACATTGATGAGTTACATTCTACATCGACGGTCTGGAACAAGGTCGAAGCTTTTCATGTCATTCGATCTACATCTTCTTGCTGTTTTATCATCCCATTTACATCTTTTACTACTCAGGAAACCCACTTAAGTCTAACGAGCACTGCCGATTTGCGAACATGCTATGTACCAAAAGTAAGACTAGCATTTTGGTTGCTGGACCCAGGGTTGTTATAAAGTAACGACGGCCTAAAACTACTTCGATCACATAACGAGCTGCGTCCCGGTGGACTCCCAAAACCGTCTCCAGCACTTTGCAAATGAAGGATGTAATTTCTTCCATTCAGACGAGTGGATCATCCTGGAGACCCATCTGAAAAAACACTTCGAAGAATGCATCACTCTCGATGCAGTCTGGCTGGGGCTAAGTAGGTTGCAAAAAACTGCCAGGAAGATGATCCAATACAGAGATGGAAGGAAAAAAACTTCTGGAGCCATACTGTGGGCCTCCGTTGGAATCCGATTCTTGACACTCAAACCAGTTTGCTTCGCGTTCTCGACGTCTTGATACTCGCGCTCTCAGCGCGTTTGCCACTATCTGCTGAAGTTTGTTCCGACCTTAGAATAACTGACAATTAGGCTCTGGCTCCCAAGAAAAAGCTGCTACAGTATGATCAGATACAACAACAAGTTCGCAGCACTGTTATTAGAAGCCTGGTATCCTAAGGATTATGATTCAAACAACCGATACAGTGCGAAGACTTTTTCTCTCTGCTTCATCATAGGTAGTGTAACTGATGGTGATGTAAGCAGTATGATATAGGAATCACCATCATCAAAAGATAAAGAACTAGCACAGGGACTATAATCAACATTCGGTTTCAACTAGACGAGCATAGCTTTTCCTGCCTTAAAACTGGCTGATCTCGTCGCCGTCTCTGACCCAGATATCATCTTCCTCCCGCTCACGCTCCTCTTCGGAGAATTCAGATGAAGGAAGCGCCTCCCAACACACGAGAATGGCCCATACTACAAGATGAAGACTCTTGTTACTTGCTAGAGTCTCGTAGCAAACGTCTAAAACTGTGAAAGACTGTTGCTCCTAATCAAAGACTGCTGGTCCCCAGAACAATTTCGGAGAGGACTGCTGGCCACTAGAACAAGATACGGTTGCTTCTGCCGTCGAGAGTGCTATGTAGTCATAATAACGAGCGGACAATATTTAATTCATATTCATGACACTAATAGTACAATGATATAAGCAACGAATGAACCAACCTTGGACCATACCGTGTGCTAGACGAGTGGCAACATGTTCTAGTTGCAGCGTTTCTAACATGTTTTCATCCGTAAATGGGGTATGACACCATTGCCATTGTCTGACTGATCCCTGTGTCTCTTCACAATTTTGTCGAGTGGGTCTTAGCGTTCGTTTTTCACCTTCCTGACTGATCAAGGGGCATCAGCTCCTACTCTTTGGCGCACGGTTCGTTGTTCCCCTTGAGCCTCTTCATCATGAGTGCTCCTGTTGCAGTCGCTTCATGACTACCGTAGAAGCGGGGACTCGCCACTCCAGATTTTCTAGATGGTGAAAAACTACAGTCTTAACGATCGCCGATCCCGAGGCGCTTTATATGGTGCAGTAGGGTTCGCGCGGGTCGAATATACCGTAACATTTTGACGTGCGCCGAGTCGCCCGCGCGGAAAGCCCTAGAGGCCCAACAGGTAGTCTCCGTCTGGCAATCGTAAGCACGCTGCAACTCCGCAGATCATTAGTCAGTACTGTGGTACTACTTCAACATACTGGTAGTTTGTCTGTGACGACGAAAGGGAGAGCTACTCTCGCAGTACTTCGTAGCTGACATCTTCGTGAAGCTTATCCTGGTATAATATCTGAAGATGTTACGGGTCGTAACGAAGAAAAAGAGCGAAACGATGTTGGCCAGCATGCATAACATAGATTCCACAGTCGAACAGCCCCTGGTAGTGCGCCAGTGGAACCGCTCCGAGCCTGGGAGCTTAGATAGAGCCTATAATTTTCTGGTGGTATCATTCGATCGTCCCAAGTTGTAACTGCTACGTCCTGTGATGTAATAAATTATTAAGCAAACAACTTCTGCTCCGCGGCGATTATATTTATCATTAGCTACAAGGCCCTGCACCGTAATCAGCGACTCATCTTGACTTTCATTTTTCTTCTTAAAGAACGATCTCCCTGCTGCGGACCCCCTGAAGCGCCGCCTGTGGAAAATGTGCCGCCGCCATTTTTACTCCCGTCGCCGCCTCTTCCTCCGCTCCGGGATGATCCCTGGGTCGCGGTTGCGAAAAGCGACGCGAAAGAGTGCACACGCCGTGTCGCGCGACAAGCACTATAATAACGCGCGTAGGATCGCCAATGCAGAACGGCCGCCTGAACTGCTCGACTATCCTTAGAAGGCCGATTTTCTACCAGTAGTGTATCAGAACACATACATTACAAGACCTGGGCCCATTGCGGTCGCAGACATAGAAGATGCAACACATCACGATGGCTAGATAGAAAAAACCAGCGATAGCTACATAGACTAAAAGACGGATGCACAGATAGAAAGATGGCCCGAAAGATAGCTAGAAAAGGTTTGTCATCTATCCCCCAAAAGGACAGTTTGTCGCGTCTCTAAAAGTGATGCATGTCCTCGTTTCTGTGCGTTGTGCGTAATTTCTTTCACTGTTTTCCTCTCTTGTGCTCCGGCATCGTCGCTTTGAATGAAGCCACGCGGAAAAATAGCGCACTCAGGCGGTGGGAGATCCTTCCATGTGTGAACCATCTCCATTCCCAGGGACCAGCGCAGCAGGTAAGTACCGCCATAAGGTCTCGGTTTTGTTTTCGCTCGAGCTGCTGCTTTTCTCGTATTAGAAAGCTGTTCTTTTGAGGAGACTCCACATTCTATGTATACAGACACAACCCGCCTGTTTACAGACAGATGTCTAGCAGAAGAAGCCGCACCCACACTTGTACGAAAAAAAAAGATCATGTTCGATGAATGAACTAAAATACGGGAAACTACAATAGTGAAGTAAAAGCGACAATATCATCATTCGTCGTTGCAATATTGGATAACATGGAAGGGCGAGCTCTTAACCTTTTTTTGAGCAGTTGAACCGGCCAAACCGTCTTTCGGGGGATCGCTCGCTGCTCTAGGCCGCGCCCCAGCGGGCACAACATTCTGCGGGCTGGCGCCCGAGTTGTGGTCGGACTGGGACGCAGCGGCTTGCCTGGCTGCCTGTTCCCCCTTGTCGCCTCCCTTTTCACCCACTTTTGTAACGAAACTAGATGCCTCAGAAGCGGCGTCCTCATCCGGACTCAACACCTCTTCATCTTCGGTTGTAATTAGTGCACGCCATGTATTCTTCGTCACTCAGTCTGCCCAACGAGCTCCTGCTCTCCCGAGTACATCTTGTAGAGTAAAGAGGACATCGCTTTTCAACCTAGGAGAAGAATGTTTTCAAGCTTAAAAATTCCATGAACGACTCCCCCCCACTCTTCGGCGATCGCGCACCGCCCTCTTTTCTCCGTCCCAAGACCTCGGCACCTTGACGGGTCGTTGGTGCAAGCGTGGCCACCACTTCCAAACTACACAGCTTAGAGATGATCCCATGTCTTCTTTTTAGTAAACGAGTACATCAGTAGGCGGTCATGAATAGACATTACTCACTAAAACTAAAACAACAAAGTGCCCTTAACACGCACACTTTTTTCAGTAAATCACAGTCACGTCACCTCTACAGGATATTTACTTCTAGATTTTAGGGATAAGTAGATCATCATCATGTGCTCCACCCTGGTCTTTGCGCAGGCTAAAGACTCCTGGAGATACATGGCATCACTTCTCGCCTTCATCCTCAGGCTTTACTTGCCGTCTATGCGACTCCTTTTCAGTGATTCATAACTGACTGATCTTTTTAGAGATAGCATCCTGGTGGCGTCGTGCTCTACCCTGTCGGAAAACCAACATTTTTCTCCCAGGTTGGATGTTGTTCATGATAATGCTGCACCTGACATGCTGTGGTCTTAAGATATTCACAACGAGTTGGAGTACTCGAAAGTAGAAACTTCTTGTTGAGTTTTCTCCAGAAAAGCAAAACCATTGATTGTTCTAGACAAGCAAATAAAATTATTTGTTGTCCGTGTCATAACGTATAATCGACAATTGCGTCACGGAAATGCCTTCCTCTGGTGAGCTTCCGGATTAGACGAAAAGTTTCTCACATTCACGAAACATAAGAAGAAACCAAAGCTGATCGCATCAGCACTACTACTTAGCTAAATACTGATAAAGATTATCAGACCCGAATTGAATTATTCGGACGACATCGAGGACGGAACTAGAAGTAGTTTCTCTCCTCGCAATAAAAAAGCTTCATGTTCATCATCCATTCAATACTAGCAACGAGTCATAATTGAGAACCATCTTCCAGCGACTCGCCGTCGTCGATGTGTAAGTGAGTTGGTCATAGTTCTTCAAGCTGCGCCTTGCGGCATAGTCTTCGTTGCCGAAAGGGTTATGAAGCAGGCCTTTTGATCATCACCATAAGTAGAGGCTTTACCACCCTAAAAAACCTTAAGACTACAATACAATACAACAAATCTCGCACAATGTTAATTAAGACAATACCAATACGGTACAATACAATAAAGAGCACAATAAAATATCTTTAATGTAGGGAGGACTAACCTAGGATAAATGAGGGAAAAGTAACCGGTTGCTTTGATTGAAGTGCCATCATCTATTTGCAGACAGAAGTCTCTTCCCTTAATATCGTCATCCACATTCTTCAGTTGAACATCAAAGATTTCTAGACAGGACGGCTGTGGTAGTGGACAACGCAGTCGCGCTGGGACGCGTGCAGTCAATGCACAAATTTTACTCCTGGGTACGAGACTCTACTTCTAGTTGTATTAGCCGATTTGCTCTACAACACCACGAGAATCAAACCAGTTCACTTCACTTAGCACTGTTGCTTAGCCGTAAAGGCTATCTTCTGTAGGTGGAGGAAGTGAAGCAAAGGGAGCGTCGCGTCTTGTCCACAGACACCTTAGAGTCATTTATGATGGTGTGTTGGGTAATAAAGATCTTTGGAGCCGCGCTTGCCACGTATCTAGGACATCCGTAGCCACATAAACAAAGTCAAAAACCTGCTTTCGAAGAAATGATCAAGTAAAAATTTTTTCCCTAAAACACTCACCAAGAATCCTAACAGCATCTAGTGAATTTCAAAAACTCGAATAAGCAAGCCACGAGGGAGGTTCACTTAAGATCCTTGATGAGAGCACGACTCTTTTCTCCTTGCCTCAGAATTATCAAGTAGCTCAAAAAACAACGCTCTTAAAAGCAAAACCCGTTCGCGAGAGAGCCACACCACTGCAGCAGATCCATCCACGGCAACCGCGTGCTTATCACCGCCGCCAAAAGAAGGATGAAAAAGACCACTGATTGACCGAAGCGTTACAGGTGGGTACTCCGGTGCACCGTGTATCCACACCATTGATCGGAATAAAGGACACGCGCCGGCTGATCATAATGGGTTGAAACAAAAGATGCTTGGTTTCCTGATCTTGTATCAACATGGTGGAGGTATAAGCATAAGACGGCTAGATAAAGCTTTTCATGAACAGCGGTGGACGCATGAAACGCATAATACTAAAAACGACATAATTCTTAGTCGTACGCTAATCTGATCTCCAGATCGATGAAGTGAATTCTAGATCGAGGAACATTTAGTCGGCCAAATACATATTGATGTGCTCGGGTCGTTACTACTGTTTTACAACCTTATCGATAATAACAGGCTCAGCCCTTAACTAAAGGCTTTTTCACTTTCGTTAATAACGGTTCGTTCTCAGGAAAACCTTTCCTAAAACAACGTCAAACTCTCAAGTTTGAAATGATCTAATCAGCAAGTACAGAAAACGCCATCGGAATGTTGAAAATGGATCATGTCACAGGGGCTTCTTTGACGGCAGTCCACACTCGCATCGTGGAACCACTGGAGACTGGATGGCTCCCAGCTTGAGTGAGCCGCTGCTTCTAACCGCAACGACAAGACTTATGTTTAGAGGAAGTCAGCCCGTCATCCCTTGCCGGGTTCTTTTCATCAACGGAATATAAAGAGAGTCAAGACCACACGACGAGGACTGTATCTCACCGAGCTTCCATGAAGGGCTCAGTAGTTTTGTCCGTATGTTACCGCCTTAATTGTTGCAGAGCCATCGCTGTCTTCGGACACTGCGATCAGTCTGGACTCTATCGTAGGTAACAAAACTTAGAGGAGGCAACCTCGTAAGTGGAAAACTCTTCGAGAGAGAGAGAGAGAAAGGACGCTTTTTGCGCAGTTTTCCAACTTGCAGGTAGTACTACAAAAAAAATCATCTCACCCGCAATTACTGTTATCTCTGTTTGTGCAGAAGTATTAACAGTATGATTTAAATCATGTTGTAATTATAACGTGAAAATTCATCCTCTTACGTAAATATGTAAAGGACCTGTGAAAAATGTATAGACGTGCAGGGACAAACGCCTTAAAACGAGGGTCCGTTTTACATATTCGGTTTTCCCGCTATCTTCTGGCGGCCATGCTATGTCCGTATACATGCAAATAAGGCGCTGTTGTTGCGCCACATCGGGCGAGACTTTCTTGCCGAAGGAGCAAACCATGTGAGTGGCAGATATTTCAATTCGGTCTCGGTCTTTGGCGGCGTAGGCGTCAAAACGCACCTTTTGTCCTGTGAAGAACTTACCACGGACGCTCCACACATCGACGTCTGCAGTTGTCTGTGTTCCGACTTCGAGAAAAGAATCGTCGCTCGAAGAAGGAGTAGGGGCCTCAAAGTGTGCAAGCGGGTCCTCTTCCAATCCGGCTTCCTGCCACCAGTGGTGCTGAAGATACTCCGGATGATCGTCCTGTTGCCGCCCCCCGGCTCCTACAGACTCTCCAGCGCCTGAATCGGTTTCAGCTTGATGATGTTGAGGGGTTTCTGCCACGCGCGTTTTTTCCACGTCCTCGACAGTTTTCTTCTCTCCTCGCTCGATATCCCCTTCCAATGCTGCCCTCACTACAACTTGGTCTTGCGTTGGAGAAGTGGAGGGCAGTCTTCGTGGGTCCGCAGCTGCTTCAGTCGTTGAAGGCTCCAAAGCGCCCGCACTATCGTACGCGAGCGAGGAGGAATCATCGGGAGCAAGCGAGGGGGAACGACCGCCCCCGATAGCCGTATCACGCCGCACCGCCGCCACGAAGTTGTGCGCGTGCTGATGCTCTCCTCCGACAAGAGATAGCCGTATCCAAACACTAACCGAGTAAAAACATGCTAGCATCAACACGCCGAGCGACCACGTGCGCCGATGCAGACACCTGTTTCGCCGCGTACTTCCACAGAGCAAGGTACACAGTTTATTGGTAAACCCGGTTTCACAAAACCTGAAGACCGGCGTCCGTGTAGAGCAGACATGGCGCGACCGCGAAGCGCGCGAGCTCCAGTCAATGACCATGACAACCGAAGCAGCACCAATCTGCGAACAAATGCCAATGGAGCATGACCTGGTGACTTCTAACCGCTATTCTTTCCCCAGACAGAATAAGACACGACTATGACCTCCGCTAGTGTGATTGCTCCTTAGGTCCGCTTTCCGACACCACCAATCTATCCTGCTCTCGAAGGCTTTCTTCTTGAGAGTGAAAATGCCACACGCCTTTGAGAAGATGCACACCTTTTGAAAGATGCGTGTCGCTCAACTCTCGATCCGCTCTCGATGTCAATGACCACAAAATTCTACTTACAAAGCGGACACTCATCTCCACAAAGATAGAGCGAAAGGCGTTTCTGCTTCCGTTCACCAAGGTCGGGAAAACGAATCGACACGCTTTGGAAGGAGGCATAGCCCATTTCCACAAAAATTGTCTCTGTACATGCAATACCTTCATCCACAGCCTGATTGTCTTATGGATATTTTCCCCATCCGTGTTGCAGTCGTTCTACGCTAGAGGAAAGAAGCAAGACCTGACAAGATACATTTACATGGCATTTCAAACTTCTAACCTAATCATAATCTATCTAATAACTGTGAGCGCTAATTTCGAATTACACACATGACAAAGGGAAGGCTCAATGGGAATGGGGATGATCAGGGCTAGAAAGAGGTACATTGGACGATTTACATTTACAAGTAAGGTGATGTAATTTCTTGACGCATATGGTCATGGACGGAAGAGCTAACGTGAACCGATTGATATGATAAGTGGTAAAAGGCGGTATCTTATAATAATCAATGATCATTCATGTGGATTGATAGTTACTATTTTCATAAAACGACGAGTCTATGTTCTCAATGTACGAAGACACTTAAATGATAAATTTGCTTGATGAAGACTTCAGTGACCTTCAACAAATCTAATGCAGAAGCTCAGACATGACTCAGCCCAAAAAATTCATGTTCTTATGTTATTGCAATGACTTCGATTCGTGCTGTATCGAGCGTGTACAGCGGCAAATGAGTATGACAAATGGGAAAAATTAAAATATATAGCAACCTTTACCCGAATATCTTTTAGGAAATGTCGAAAAACCATCTGTGCAAAACCAGTTTTCGTGACTATTTGACCACTTACTGATACTATCTGCGACTCCTGGTGTGGTTCAATTCTCCTACTAGTAACGTTCCTGCCCCTTTTCTGTGCGACGCAGTACCTCCAGATTTCCTGCGCCCAGATGGTTGTGTCCCGATGGCAATTGCGACGCTCCCACGTTAAGCGTTAGAAAGTGGCTACTTAAGTAGTTCTCAGTCGCAGCAGGGGGAGCTCCTATCAGAGTGATCATCTTCACCCGAAGCTAATACTGCCTAGTACATCTACGAAATGTAGTATTAAGTGTAAGAATCAGCATATTAATAGTAAAAGCTACAAGTAGTGAAAAATCATCGATGAAGTATATAGTAACTGCATAAATGTATTACGTGGGCCGGCGCGTCCAATTCTACTAGCCGAACTACATCGATGCCTTTCAGTGCCCAGACCGCTAGCCGACCGCAGCTGTTAATCCCCCTTAAAACGTCGACACCCCCAACCTTGAATTTTCAACAACGTAGGTTTACCGTATTGAATATCAATCTACTACACGACAAAGTATGCACGGAATCACACAGTCTCCAAGAAGAGAAACAAGATTTTCAGTCCATGAAGTGGTACCAGCTGCTCGACTTCTGCATTGAGACCCAGCTGAAGCTTTAGTTGATGCACGCCGGAAAAGGGGTCAATGCCAATGATCAAACCCGACTTCGTTCCGACCATAGTTTAGAGGCCTAAATTGATTCTATTTTATCGCGTGCCATGTGTTAGAATCCTCCTGGATGATCTGCAATTGATATTTCATGATTCTATATCATTTCAAGCCATCCGATGCAAGCAACTCTGACAAGTATTCATTTGAGTAACGCTCTCACTCTTGGACATCGCATAGCATGAGTATCGACCTCCGAGGTCGGACCTCGATTAATTCTACATGAAGTACTACTGTGCATTGCATGGTGGGATAGACCTAGGAATTGAGGGAATAAAGAGTAACCGGTTATTTTCCTTTATGTGCAATCTTAGATCACAAGATTCCTCCACTGTGTAAGGCACCGTACGCCCTCTCGAAAGTCTAGTCTTCGTATGCACGGTCGGTCTACATCGTACGGATTGATGAAACTAATCAACTCGTCGCCGCCAACGATCAGCATATCTGAGTAAGAGAGGAAGCGAAGCGTGCGGGGAAGGAGGAGGAGCATGAGGAGGATGACGATGACTACTTCTGAGCAAAGAAGTACTGGCGAGACAGAATGGGTTCTTTCAGCACGTTCTCAGTGGGAGTTTCACCATTTTAATATAGATCATGAAGGACGAGTACCTCCGTCCTCTAAGTCTAGCCGCTTCATATCGTCAGCACAGACGCTCCCTGGGTTCACCCGTTTATAGTGCAGCAATGAGGCTTTAGAACAGTTTCCCACATGAAAGAGGCAGTCGACTTCTAAGTACTCCATGGCGGTGGGAGCTAAATGCCACATCTTCAATTTTCCCTGCTGCGAGACGGTAAGCACACCAGCACTTTTATCTGTGTGAGTTGAAACTTCTTCAATTTACATTTCGGGAAAGATTCATTCTTCCGTAGAAGTAGTTCTCCGTACCTGTTGTGATTAATCGAACAAGCATATTTCACAACCTTCCTCTGGAATTTGAAGTTTTCGATTTCGTGGACGCTTTCGAGAGTAGATGATCTGACGCTCACGCTACTTGAATATCGGTTGCATTTGAAATTACTCGAAAATTGATCCATCAACAGTAGGTAATTATTGTACCTAATGAATATAGTCGCATTAGGTGGTCACCCTCTGCGCCGACATCGAGAGTGTCCGTCTTTGACCAATTAAATTCCATCGTTGGCTGAATGTAGGATCAACCAATCATTGGGTTGTAAACACTTCTTCAGATTACTTCAGTGGTAGTCCTTCTATGTTTGACTTTTCTTGGAGGCAGCCTGCCGTGGTCCTACTGTCTCACAACTCCTACAGTTGCTTTTCCTTACATCGCTGTGGGAGTAGGGTACCTTTCCGAGTCCTCTGCCTTTCGTGGCTTCTGGCAGAATCTTCCAAATTTTTCCCTGCCTGCAGCAACATAATACCTGGTTCGTCTCAGCGCAGAAAAGTATATTATTCAGCTCTGACGGAAGGTCTATTTCTGCTAGCATTTCGTTCGACTTGTAATTCCAGAACCGTATCCGACTCTTCCCGTCACCTTGAATGACATTCTTGTGATGATTCGAATCTATTCAGCAGCTTGCGGAAAGTTTCCCTTGACATTCTTGTAAATAATATTTTCTATTTCAAGATCTTGAATCAAGGTATGGACAGGTCGCAGATCCATCTAACTACACTTCTACAACAATGTGTTGAGCCTAGTGCAAGTCGAACTATCATGTATTCTATTATCATCATTGACACGCAGACCATGAACAGCGAGAGGTGTCTTTGTGCGACGACTTCTCTCATTATTCATAGGGCCTTCGCGAGAGTTCTTTTTTGCCTGGGTCTACATTTCTCGCTGTAATTCCATCTAATGACCCAGCGAGAAGCCTGAAGCACGACGGCCAGGCGCTAAAACTACGCAAACGATTAAGCACGACGGCAACCGCTGTAGAGAAGAAGAGGCCGGGCTCGCGGAGGCCGGGCTCGCGGCTGCAGTGACTGCGCCGCCACGTCCTGAGACGATACGTGGGAACAGCGTGCCTCATGCTCGACGGACCGGAGCCGCGCCGCAAGTGAGGACTTGCCGATCGCGCTCGGAGGGGCTCCAGTCGCAGCACCTCCGAAGTGTGCCTGTTGTGTGGATCTCTCGCGTCATGCGCGGGTTTTCATTGGGGGATAATTTTCGGAGGTTTGTTGGAGGATATCATGATGCTCGTGCCACGCTTCGCCGATCCCACTCGGGTCAAGGCATGTGCTACGGGCCTAAGACAAAAATACATATACCATAAAAGCTTCTCTTCCGCGCTGCTGCACATTCGCACCGGGGGGAGAAGAGGTGAAACGAAAGGAGGACGGTCAGACAGATATTCATATCATTCGATGTTTTACTTTCTGTTTCCTTAATATCACTACCATCCCTTTGACTGCCCAATTATTTTCATGTTTATGGGGTCTTAAATTCTTTAGGGGCGCGTTGCCGACTCACCTCGCGCGATCATCCCAAGCGAGGGAGAGAAGGAGAGCAAGAAATCCCAGTCGCCAAGGTCCGCTAGTCAAGCACGAAGAGTGCGACCACGACAAGAGAAAGCAAGCGCGTCATTTCTTTTCTTTTTCGTTTCATCACGCCTCTCTTCTGGTTCTTTTTCTCGTCCTAATACCCGAATTACTAACCCAAACCCCATATGGGGGAAAGGGGGGTCACAAGCTGCAGGTACAGCCTTGAGCCAGAATGCCTACGTAAGGCATCAAGAAGGCCTGTTTCGAAGTATCAAGAAAACCAGAGGAACTTCTCAGCCAGTAATAAAAATAAACCAGTCTTCGTGTCATAAAATAGTGACAGTACCATACACACCGGATATGCTTCGATAGGCATACACGAGCAGCGGGACGCCCTCTTCGGGGTTTTTTACAGACGCCTTGAGGTCTTTATTTTGCACATGCTCCATCGCGACTATCTCTGAGCCGGTGCACACCCTTCTAATGATATCCATTTTTGGCGGCCCGCCTGTTATAACGATGGTCCCTGCTTGATCCGCTGTTATCAATAGTTTCTTTTCCGGTATCTGGAAATTTATGGTCATAAAAGCAAACTCGCTACTTGCCGTAAAATTCTTGAATCTAAATACTAAGTCCTTATATATAGTGAGTTAGAAATTAATAATTGCAGAGAAGCGAATATAATAGAGATGATAGTCTCATGCGTTCGCTGCATGCTGTAGTTCTATCTTAACTAGCTAAGGAGCCATATCACATAGAAGCTCTAGTAAACTAGCTTTTAAATACACTTAGAAGTTGCGTTATCTCCGGTAGTTGGTCCAATCGTGGGAGCCTCCCGTACTCGTTTTTCACCGTAAGCCCGACATCGCAGAGAAATGGCACTTTCTGCTTTGTTGGTTTCGTAGTGTGAAAGTAGTCACATGTTCGAACGTCTTCATTAGAGCGAGCGCGTCAACTTCCTATTTTCTCGTCGAAGGTCACAGAATACAAAATCATATCAACAGCTACACGAAAAACGTCTATTTCCTGTATGCCATTAGAGTAAACTTTGAAGCGGAGAGAATCGACAAGAACGAAAACAAGTCTAGACACACGGAAACGAGGGAGTCTAGATAATCAATCCCTGATGCGGTCTAAATTCTTCTTTCCAGACATAAAGTAAAGTGTTTGGTGGTGCGACACGAGGATGTGCTCCTTCTCTACATCGTGGGTATCCCCGTAGGTGACCGAAAGTCGGACCATCTTTAATCGAGTGTGTGGTCTGCAAGCTAGTTCTTCACTCGACAAAAATGGGTGCGGTCAGCAAGATCGCCGTTGAAGAGCGCGTGGCTGAGGAAGCTGAAGTCGGACGAAAGGTTGTCGAAAGCCGGACAAGCGTTCGTGCTGTCTGCGAGACTGTTCTCGATGAAGTAGATCGGTGCAGAAGATGCAAGATAGTAGTTCTTGATGTTGGTATGGTCTGCAATATGCATAATGAATTCTTCTTCTCCGTTCTTCTCCTTCTCCGTTCGCCCGAGGAATCAACTATTCGCTTTACGAGAACCTCTAATTCGGTACTAGTCGATCTTTGAGGACTTCTTCTACTGTGGTATTGGTACTACTTAGTCTCACCGTGAAGCAACAGCAAGTTGTCGTGTTCTGGCTCCTGATATCGCCTTTCGTGACGAGCGTCCAGCAAGATCAAGGATCTGCTTTGTGTCTTCCTCGGCGACTCACAGTCAGCACGGGCATCTCCCTCGACATTTTTGGGCCCCTTTGCTCCTGTAGTCAGACACATCACAGTTTTTGTTTTCGTCCGTCATGAGTACTTATGCGATTACAATGTAAATGATGTAAAGATAAATAGTCGACAAGCGAGTATCAAGAAGCTTCATTCTTCCATTTTCTCCTTTTTACTACCACGGACTTCCTTTTCCACTCCTCTCCTTTTTCGCACTTGATGTTCTACTTGAAAGTTGAAACTTTTGCCAGAGCTCTCAATTTTGGGCGATCATCATCCATACAGGTAGAACAAGGCACACTGCCTCGACATCCACGCATAGGCATTCGACAACAAAAATCGAGAGCAGGATCTCTCTTCAGAGGATATGCACATGAAGATCCCTTCCTGCAAGAGCATGATTTCGTAATCTCTTTCTGCTTTTATCGCAGAATTCCTGTGCGTTTTTTCCCCGAATGGTCTCTAGCAGAATAAGGTGTCTTATTCGTGATGAAAATCAACTTGCACCAAAGGAGTAAGGTTCATTTGCATGGAGTGACATTTAGTTACATCGCCAAGGACACATCAGAAACAATAATACCAGCAGAAATTAGACCGTATGGCTCTGACATTTTCTATTTTTCAGTTCGGTTCTCCATTCAAGATATTCATTACATACGATCCAGGGCGCAGGGCGACGGCGCCCCCCCTTCTAGCGTAGGGGGGGCACCGTGCAGCCCGGGGCCCCTTTTTAAGGCGTCTGCCGGGAGTGGAAGGCCTCACGAGGGGGCCAAGTGGCCTCCCCCGCTCCCTTCCAGCTGCCTGGCTGTTACCTACGGGCCGCCGATGTCGGTGGGAGGCTTCAGAAGGCGCCCAAGGGACCGCCTGCGCCCCCTTCCAGGTTCCTGCTTGTGCCTGAAGTGCCTCCGATATGCTTCGCTGCCGCAGCAGTGCGCCGGTTATGGAAGGCCTCCGAAGGCGGCAAACGGCGAGGGGCTGGACCCCCTGAGCCGTGCGGCCTGTACCCTCCGGGCCCTTGGTCATCGGCTTGCTTGCTCTTGCGACCGTGGCCGCCTTCGGCGGCCTTTTGCCCCGGAGACCTCCCGCCTGCGAGGGTCAGCAGAGGCTGAGGAACACGCAGAGAGGCGCAAGGGGAGGCCCGCGCCAGGTTTTGACGCCTTCCACAACTAGAATCCGCGAAAATCAGCGCGGAAAAGCGCGCGCGCGCCACCACAGACCATACCACAGGGGGGGGGGTACCGTGCAGCCCTAAAACATATATCCTCCTCTACTTCGAAAGTAGACAAAACGCATTAGACCAGAGTATACGTAGAAATATCATTCAGTAAAGCGTGCCATCTTTTTGCGTCAATACGTAACGCGCCTCCTTATGTAGAGATGCAGATGACTAAACAGTATACGATCTAGCGACTGCTGATCAAGAAAACAAACAATACAACTAAAATCAAAGTCAATAAACAATCATCCGCTAATGTGGTGCCAAGCCTAAAAATGGTCCATGCCTTCAGTGATTTTCCTGAAAAGAATTTCGATACGCAATGAATGCGGTGCGTCCACAAAATATGTACTAAAATATCTAGCTGCGCGTTTCTTCTTGCTCCCCGTGCCTTCTCTTGGTCCCTCCATCTTACAAATTAGTCAGCCGCCCCATGCTTATTGTCGTCGTTGTGGTTTTGTTTTTTTGGACATGGGGATGCAGGAAGATCGGAGCCTAACGGAAATTCTACTCCATCTCGTCTCTAGAAAATTCAACGACTCTACCAGGATCATTTTCTTTCTGCGCCACGTTATTCTCGTCTCTCGTAGGTACCGTTGTTTACTCTTTAGAACCGCACGTCTCCTCTCTCTCTCTCTAGAAGCTAGGCGGCCGTTGTTCTCTACCTGTGTCGGCGAAATGCTCCGGGAACGGCGCAGACGGAGCCACTTTGTCTCCTCCGGACGTCAACTGGAGTTGGCAAGAACCCGCTCCTTGTCCGCCCGGCGTAGTCGTATAATTGTATGGCAAATTTTGCCCCAAGAAGGGGTCCACTTCAGTTGCTTGCACACGAAACAAAACAGCAGAGTCAGCGTTCTCCCTCTGGCTGCTATCTGGTTCCCTGTCCTTTCTCATGCAATTACAATGCGGTATCCTCAGCAACGCAACGACTACACCAACCAGAAGCGCGAAGCCGAGGACCGATCCTACAAATCTCCACAAAAACAACAAGCGTGAGGCTCTCGCCCGCTGCTGGGCTCCGTTTCCTGCACCGGCGTTGGTATTACTCGGCAAGAATGGCACAGGAACGGGTTGCATTTCAGGCTCAGTGTTCCTCCGAGGTGACGAAGTTCCTGTTGTTCATTAGAAACAACTCTTGCTTCAAGACAAGCGCCAGTGACGTCGTGAATACACTCACACTAGAATATCATCGCTCGGTACTACTACTATAGTTGATTGAGTATAAAATAAAAGTCAGCCAGGAGATGGTGGGAGTTTCCAAATTCCAAAAGGTAGTGCTTTTCCTTTGTGCAGCCTTAAGTAGTGCCGGATGAAGGTGCCCCTTCGCCTTCTCTTGCTCCAGAGCCACTTTCCTCGCGTCCATTGGCGTTCTCAGCAGGCGGTGACGTGGCAGGCGGGTCGATCAAGCCCTGCGGAATCAGAAATTTTGGTGATCATGAACGCAAGTTCAAATAAATGCAATACTATTCATGCGCGTTGATGTCGTTACATACAATCTTTCAATGCATGCTAGCAGGCGCAAAGAGATATCGTTAAAGACGTACATTCATAGGTACAGTAGGCCAGTAGGAGCTGCTGAAATACCTTCCTCTATCGTATTGTGTTCTCGAAGGTTGCTCAGTGGTAAAAATTCTGTTCCAAAACAATAGCTTCATCCTTACTCAGCGCCGTTGAAAGGATCGACCTCTGAAGCTAGCAAAATTTTTTCCTTAGGTTTCTTCAGAGAAACCAATTACGCTTTGTACTTGAGCTTGCACTAGTTAAGAACAATTCAAATATTACTAGCGGTGCTGCACTTTCAACAGACGGCACTGCCGGCGTCGAGGGATCAGCAAAGCCAGTGGAAGATGGGAGATCGCCGGCGGAAGCATCATGATAATCAAGTTGGGCGATCCCTTGCTGACGCAAAATTTCATTAATTCGGCGCTGCCCACGTTCCGCCATGTCATTACATCGGCGCTGCGCACTTTCCGTCATAGCACGGATCCTAGCAGCACTTAACGGACGGTACTGTGCGATGCCTTGGCGAGAATTGCCCATCGTTCCGCCAATTGGAGACGAAATGTCAGGCCGACCCAATGGCTGCACCGGGTGAAATGGCTGGATCGTGTTAAATTGCTGCGTCGGATTCAATGGCTGGATCGGGTTACATGGCTGGATCGGGTGCGATAACTGCATCGGGTTAAATGGCTGCCCAAAACTAGGACCGCCTAAACCGGTGGGTCCCAATGGCTGCGCCACGTGCCCCGGACCTGAGCCTATCGAAGAAAATCCGCTCATCGAAGAGAGCGAACTGGACCTCATCAACGAGCTGGGAATTGCTGAAAATGCTGCACCGCCAAAGAGCAGATACCCAAACATTAAAAGCAGACGGCACACGGCCGCCGAATCCAAACCCGACATTGATTTTCTTCCTGTTCGTGGACGACCACAAGCGACTTACTTGATCGAAAGATGTCGTTGACAACATTGGTCAGTTTCTAGCTTTAATATTTAATTCATATGCTTTATCTTTGGCCTTAAAATAAACTACAGACTCAATTTTGATTACGGAAAAGAACGATTTTGTTGAAATTAGCTATCACAATGACATGCGCTAGAGGAGAATCTGACTTTTACAAACTTAGCGTGCATGCACAGAGACGCAAGATATAATCAGCTGTCTGTAAGCTATCGAATGAAGGACATTTATTCATGTTGTATACTTTTTCTGGTATGAATGTCTTCGCTGCTGTCTAAATCTTCAGTACTATCATGGATCTGATACGCCACCCAGTGGTTACCAGAAACACACAAGCGCAGACAACCGCCAGCCGTCGCAGATCTTGGATTCAATAGACGTGCTCAGTGCGTGGTGAGGACTACGACTGCAGATTTCAGACCCTGCCAATCTTTAAACCTGAAGTATGAGTCGCATTCCTCATATCGACGGCAATACGCATCCATGCCTCACCGTCACCAGAACACTGATATTACTTCCTAGTATTATTATTATCAGGAGAAGGATAGACGGCTATCCACAGACCTACAGACGGCCAGGGGGCGGAATCTGAAGCACAGCGACGCGCTAAGCACATGCAGGAGAGTCCTAACAAGAGGCGCCGCGGCCCGGGTGCGTTTGTCGGTGCCGTCATGGTAAGTAAGCAGAAGCCTGAGACCTCGAACCAACGATCGAACACCGAAAAAGGGTAAGCAGGTGCAGCGGTGAAAACAGCAGAGGAACATCGTCGGGGGCATTTAGTCGAAAGCCGGCGCGCCACGCCAAGGCAGCCCCAAAGCGCCGGACCTCCCCGCGGCGAGCCGCGTCGTAGTACGGAGCGAGAGCTCAACGACAGCAGCAGGCAAGCACTTACTAGGTAGGCGCGCGGGAAGGGAGCAGCCACACTCCTGCACAGTGCCGCCGCTCACTCGTATTGCTTCCGGAAAGCCAATGCATCACTGACCGCAACCCGCAGCCCCGTAGAAATAGCAGAGAGATAAAACCGCCAAAAAGAAGAGCCAAACCAGCGAAGGCAAGGTGCCAGCGAAGCACCACCAAGGGGCCGACCGAAAGACCTAGACGCCACCGCGACCGTCTCCGCCAAGGTCGTCGTAGTACTCCACCCAAGCAGCGCGCTCAACTACATGCGCGCACCGAACGAGGTCCGCGAGCACCGTTGTCGTACGTAACTGCGTGACATCCGCGCAGAACTTCCCGAAGAAGTGGCGCGGTGTGTCCTGTTCACCACAGCAGCGAGCCACAGGCCCCAGACCAAAGGGGCCAGCGTGTTTGAAGCGCGACCCAGGCAGCAACTTGGCGGCAAAAGTCTGCACCTCTCGGGGGCAGCGATCCCCCAACGGCGCGAGCGCCCCAGCCCCATCCAGAGAGACTTCAGAAGGAACCTGGCAGAGCCGTAGAAGCAACGCCCGCGCAGACGAGCGCGAGAGCTCCAGCGCAGCAAGAACGTCGCCACTAGCACTATGCATTGCGCTCGTTGTCTAACGTGGCAGGCAGTCAGTGCTCCTCGGCGGCGAGCAAGACCTTGACCGCCCACAGAGGAAAGGAGCGGCGCAGTGCGGCCAGCCGCAGGCGCGTACTTGAGGAGGACCCCAGCAGCGGCGTCAACCAGGTCGTTGACCGGGTTCCCGATGTGCGAATATTCCTTCCTAGTAGAAAATATGATGGCAATATCTTCAGACCACCAACGGAACCGAGGTTGTTAATGCAAAAAGAACGCTGGCGTTTGCTGCACTAGAACCGAACATGGACCAAAAAGGATGCTCATCATACCCACTGTATGATAGAGATCATCCACACTGGTATCTTTTCAATTGCAATCCCTTGCAACTAATATGGAGCATCAAAGCTCAGAAACTGGGGTACACTAACTCTCCTTTTCAGCGCGACTGCTTGCAATCAAAATGTAATGTTCTTCGTTTCTTTTGAAAAATCTGTTGGTCTTGAAACTCACCGTTGCACATCTTCAGATATCATGCAGTTTTGTTTATAAGTATCGAAAGATTCCGCTCTCTACTCCGCAAACTTGACGCCGCCACGCTTTCCTGCCTTTCGCTTGGCCGCCGGATCGTTCAATCGCCGATTTGCCGATAACTCCAGCGTGGGTCAGGAATGAAGGAGGAAGATTGTGGAAAAGAAAAATTGAGAAGAGTTTAAAGATTTCGCAACATAATTCACAGTGGAGAAGAACTCGTCTGCAATGACCATCGCGTTGTGCATCTTGGATAAGGCGCCATTCTTTCGTCGCGCTGGGGCCTTCATGCCAGTAAGTGCCGTTGACCCTGCGGTTTTCTCTCTAGGAGACCCACGTGGCGACCCTAGACCTACTGCATTCTCACTCAAACCAATAGAATCAGCAACTCTCGAACTGCGTTGCCCATCTCCATCTTCCGCTGCAAGCCGCAGTGCCGCAACGGGGTCTCACAATTAGCAGTCTACTTCTCGTTCTACCTGGTACTTGTTATGCGCATAATGAAGTTCCCAAACGAACACCTTCATTTCATGCTCGAAGAGGAGCACTAAGCTCAAAATAAAACACTATTAGAATCTGAGAACCATGATGAAGACCAAATGCCTCTCTGTCTGCGTGCACAGGAATCTATCAATCTGGAAAAAAAGACAAGCCTTAACGGTAGATCATGAGATCCTGGTTACGCAGTTCCTTTCGTGGCGTCAGCTTCAGACCTGGGACTCGCACAGGCGATTCGCTTTCCAACTGCGCTAGCGGTACTACTTGAGGTTTACTTTTGATTCCGGGCACGACTAGCGAAGACTCTTTATCCCTGCTACTCGAGATGACTGGAGACTCCGAAATAATACTTTGCATACTGGTTGCAGTTGTTCGCAGATTAGCGAGAGTAGTGCATATCTATCCTCATTTACTTGATTTGACGCTGGATTGAGTCTGAAAATGGTATGATAATGCGAAAATCTAGAGGATGTCATGGGTAGATCGTATTTTTCTAGCAAATTTTTATGGATATGGAGACCTTATCATAACTACTGTAACACTCGCAGTTGCACGACTTCTACTCACCGGCTGCGCTGTATTCAAATTTCCACCAGCGTCGCTCCCCTGTCCCCTCGCCGTAGAGCCGCCAACGTAGCTGTTGGACGATGAGGGCGGGCCCGTCGATAAACGACGAGAACCCGTCGCAGCTTCGTGCTGACTCGAAGATGCAGCACTTTTCAAAAATTCCGGTACCGCTAATTCGTAATCCGCGTCTTCGACGTGTCTCCTAAAGTGCTCTCGTATCTCTGCGTCACGCGACTCAAACAGAGCGTCCTCTGTGGTCTGAATGATTTTGAATCGTCAAATTAATACCTGAAGTAGGATGTCCGCCACATGTGTAGTACATCATGATCATCCTATTTCGTGTTGGTAATCATCGTTTACATTTTATTCATTGGTGAAAAAGGGCATACTGAAAGATCTCTAAATGTTTTCAGTGAACAACTGAGTACTTCTCCCACAGCGACAGCGACTACTGTTGCAGAAAAAAAGAATGTAGGTAGTCTAGCGAATACCTGTAGGTAGTCTAGGGAATACCTCAACATTCTTCTGCTCACAGGCTTCCTGCCGTTTTTGCCGCAACGTCGACAGCTCTGAACTCGGATTCCATAGGTCCTGCACCTCTTCATAATAGTCCTCGCCACGTCCGTACTTTCTCAAATTGTGCGAAAGCCTCCCCCTTGGACTCGGAACGCACATGGCTTTGTTGACGAGATATTTGCTTGTTGTCATAAAAGGGACGACAAATGATCTACCACTTGTAGGTAGAAAAGAAAAATTTACTAAGTCCAACAACAACGCACGCGTTCAGGCTGGGACGCAGGCTGGGACGCTTGGCGAGCGGAGTCACCGGGGAGGGCGTTTACTGCCCGTTCTGTCCTAGCTTTGCAGCAAGCACGCAGCACCTACTAGAGTGCCCCGCGCTCCGGGCACTAGCTGCGAGCCACGCAATTCCGACGGAAGTTGGGGCGGCTGCGCCTAACCCGAAGCGGCTCATCCCGTACCTGCGCGACCTAGCGAACCACTTCGGCGGTGCGTTCTTGCGAGCGCAGCCGCCACACCTCGAGTGAAGGCAAGGGAAAAGAGTAGCGGCCGCTGTGGTAAAACCATCGCTGCCGGCTACGATTGGACGGGGCCGAGATAGGTGGTGGCGAAGAAAGAGCAAGCAGGAGACAAGAAAATTAGCACAGGACGACAAACAGAACGAAGACAAGACGAAAGTAAGCACAAAGAACGACGAAAGACAGCCCGACCGCGCTACACCGCCAGACGCTACCTACCCACAGTCGCCGCCTCCTGCGCATCTAGCTCGACATGCCATAAATGGCGGTGGTGACTGTGATGGCTAGACATACCATAGTCGATCGCAACGACGACTATAGCATAACACACAGAGCACAAAGAAACCCGGCGGTATCGTACGAGACGGCCGGAGCGCATCGATACGAACAAACAAACAAACAAACGTATATCCATATTCATTGATGAAAACTATCAACTATGACATTTTCCTTACTTATATATAAATATGATAAGAATTCCACAGTAGCTGTGGTTGCAATACGGATTGCTGATCGCTGAAGTACCCAAAGGTCCCGTTTGACCCGACTGCAGGTCCTCCAGCTTCTTTTTCCTCCTTGCAATGGTAGACTCGACTGTTTCTAGTATTGGATGCCGACACGTCGGGCATAGCGGCGGGTCTTTCGGGTTCCGCATCAGCTCACGCCGAATATACGGATCGATACAGTCAAAGTGCAATATTGAACGGGGTTTTTCACTGCCCGACTGAGAGGAATCTCGTGTCCTATTCACAAAGACAGAGAAAAATTGATGACTTTTAAAACAGTCAAGCCACTGCGTTAAGCCGCAGCTATCTGCTTCGGTGATGATATTTCATATCTTTTTGCAATCAAAATGTACAGCATTAGCATTTTCTTCCTCGTCATAAAAATCCATGGCCGCATGGCAGCCTTTTTGCTGTTCGCGGGAGCATCAGCTCTCCACACATAGGGCACTCGTTACTTCGACTCGTCTTCTCCCCTTGCTTCGAGCTGCTGGATGCCTGGGAAGGTGTGATAGAACTGGACTTTCCTGGTGATTCTCCTGCGAGTAACCGTCTCTGCCGTTCCCGCTTCGCACGCAGGTGCTCCGACAACTGACCTGCTCCCTTTGTGGATGAGGAAAGCATGGCTCTGGATGGACGTCGATATGAACAAAAGACACTTCGTATCTATTATAAGTTAATGTTACAATCTCAAAAAAGTAAGAAAAGTCTGGGAATATCATAAAGTTGAACAAGAAGTAACTATTGAAGACACTCGCCTCACTCGGAAGGAATCGTCTTTCGGAGACTCCATAAGCTGTTCACTTCTGCGAGAGAAGACAAATATGGCCTTTCCTTTCAATGAGACGTCAGGCAAGAAAACACACACACCATCCGAAAACATATCACGATTTCCGAAACCTTGGAAACCTGTTGCGAACTTGCGAAACCCTCCTACATTTCATTGCCTTTACAGAAATTGAAAAAGTTTTTCTTTCTGTTCATTTGCTGCTAATGCTGGAGTCTGTGCAACGCGTGAAAATGATGATGTGTGTGTATGTAAATTCTCTGAAGGTAAACGTTGACGATCCACGAGGCCCCCCTGTTGCAGGAGGGACGTGACCCTGATGTATTTAGCTACCGTTGACAAGTATGTAGGCCTGATTCGACGAATAATCATTAATTGTCACACCTCGTGAACTCACTGCGTTGTGTATCCTATACGCCCGAGGCCCCCTCTCCATCCGAAAAGCCTGTACATCTTCACAGTCCACCTTCTCTTCATTGGCACCACGTTCTACCGCCGCGCTCCAATGGACGAGAGCGTCTTCTTATCGGCACCACACAATACCGCGTTCCTGTACAAATTGCTGCGCGTCATAAGTACACCACAAGGCGGCTAGCAGGTAGAAGGAAGAAATGAAGAACATCCAATGCGTAAGGTAGACAAACCAGCCGTGGTCGCGAATCCGCTCCGACGCGACAAAAACGATAGCAGATTTAGAGGGAGACACAATAGTAAAAAACAAGTTTCTAGGTCTTGCAGAGACTACCCACTTGGTAAAAAAGGCACGAATGAATAGCGCTCCATCCGAAAAGCCTGTACATCTTCATGGTAAAAAAATAAACTGTAGCAGCCGCCTGGGACTGAGCAACCTCCAGCATAAAATAGAGCACGATGAAGTTGTAGGCGAAAAAGAGGAGCATGCGTGCTCGGAGAAATTGCCCTTCAGCAGGAAACAGACGGCTGCTGACATAGGCATCGAGCCATTCCTTGTTCGTGAGGCCAACATTGATTAGCAGTAGTCATTCACTATCTGATGAATCTTATTTGCAGAACTTGGCATTCACGTCGCGGCACACTTAAGATAATGGGTGAATGACGAATGGCTTAAACAGAAATGACGCTCAAAATACTTCACAAGAATATCGGACGAACTACTTAGCCTTATCTGGAAAGAACACCGAAACGAGGCTAGGAACGTACCAAAGGCGCCCTTCTGTAGCCCCTCTTCCACATGCTCTGGTGGAGGTTGGATTCGGTCTTGCTCTATAACATGACGATAGGTTCGTTTATGTGCTGCTCTGTCAACCACAGCTCCTGACGTCCTAGTACGAGCACCCTGGACCCCAGTTCCCGTGGCTCCTCTCGTGCTTGCATCACCTGCTGATGCTGCTGCACTACCATTTGGAACTCTATAGTTTTGTGCTCCATCACGACTAGCAGTTAGCTCTGGAAACTGGCTGTGATCGGGATCGAATACCGGTGCTTCGCGATCCTCCTCCTTGATCGAAGTCTCTGCCACTGTCACCTGTGCTTCTACCACATTAGTTGTAGCAGTGGCTGTAGATTGTGAAGCCACAGGCTGTCGAGCCGTAGGTTGTAGAGCCAATGTTCTCGTCGGCTGCTGTTCGCCCTCAGTATTTGCCTGCTGCGGCACTGCGTCTAACTTATTATTGCTGAAAATCGCTAACCGTCGTAATTCCCAACATCTTGCAATGCGGGTCCAGTACTTCTTCTGTCGCCAAAAAACGAAATACCAGCTGCAAAATAGCACCAATGGCGCCAAAACAAACGCCAGCGAAAAAGCGTACGACTTTAGAAAAAAGATTAAGATTAATTTTCATGCTACCTAATTGAACGGTCACTGAGAACGGAGTCTTCCGCCTATCCAAAGACTGGGCAAGTGCTTAGCGATGAACAAAAGCACTGTTTGAAACCAAGCAACTAACCTTTCACGTCGCCAAGGTTTTCGTCCAGCTCTGCCTCTGTTGCTGTCCCTTGACGAGATTAAGTACCATGACGGAAATGATTCCAGGGGTTGTCTTCTACCGCCATACCATGAGAATAATTCCAGGTGTTGTCCATTCGTTGAACCCTGTGAAGTAGGAGCACATGTGCGGAAATGAACGGCGGTTTTTGCCTCCAACTCCTCCGTAAAGCAAATTCCCATCATGCTCCCGCCGTTCCGCTTCGGTCATAAAGCGGCACCCTGGCGGCAATGGAGCGCCCGCGCGGCAACCTCCTACGCCGCAGCAATCGCATGGCGCGCGAATGTCAAAAGCGAGACAACAGAGGATAAACGACGAAAATTTCAGAAAGAAAAGCACATAGTACAGCCAGTGCTTGATGAAAAACGGCTGCTCCGACAGGTAACTGTCAACGACAATGAGCGACAAAGGTCCCAGGTGCGTTATCACTGCTGCAGCCATGCTCAAATTAGATTTCTGACCATATTAGATACCAAAGTTCACGTTAAAATTCTGCCTCGAGGACTTTCGCTCAGGATTAGAATAAGTAAAGCTCGCGAACAAAGGTATCTATCACAGTTCAAATTACTAGTGGACCCAAGTCTACTCAGACACTCAGCCTAGGTCTTAAGTTGGAGTCAGATCTTCATTAGCACCAGCTTATAAGATGTCGAGTTCATAATAGTATGTTCAATTGTGGTTGCGTCGTCTTTATGAAACGATTCTGAGAGGCGCTCCGGAGAAAAGCCGACTGCGGAGGCGCTCCAGAGCGATAGGAAAAACGTAAGCGTAACGAAGAGTCCACCGGGTAGGACCACTACGTACCCAGCCTGCGCTACTTGCACCATAAAGGAAGCAGTTTCAAAAGCTTCTGGAAAATTTTCCACAGGAATCAGCAGCTGTCCCCTAAAAGGTCCGCTCAAACGACTTTTCTTGGCCATCCAGGAATCCGCTGCGGCTCGCAGTTTTTTTGTCTCTGTCAACGTTAGAAGTTGGAGGAGAACGACAACAATCCTCGTACGTACGACTCCGTGGTAACATATGTACTAGTAAAGCGTTACTGCATCAAATACCGTAACAACATCAGTGAAGCAGAGACCTCGTTCGAAGAGACGCTGGTGGCGGTGTCCTCCTCACACAACAGGCCAATATCGGTTAAGCTAGCGGGGCTCTCAATTTCGCTTGCAGCAGTGTGTTGCCGACTCGATTAGCACGTTCCAACAATCTGTTCCCAGGGAAAAACTTCTGCGCAGTTTCATAAAGGTTCGACTTTCACCTTGTTCTAATTCCCCTAAGAACTGGCCTGAAGGTGAAGGAGAAGTCTGTGGAAATCGATTGAATACCATGACCCTTAACTCGACGTCACAGATTCATGGTCGTCGTCGAACTCATCTCTGTCAGACGGATCCACCTCATCATCTCCTATGCGGCTCAAGCTCGCATCCTCCTCTACGACGTGCTCGTCCCAGAAGTCTTTCTCCACAGGCTCTCCTGAATTCCAGAGGGCCGTTGTTTAGAAAGATCAATATGGCTTCTAAACGACGGGACCTCGCAATAGAACCGCCTTTAAATGACGAAATCAAATATTCTTTGATCCAGAAGAAGCTTTACACACAACAGAACCTTCTTAATTCTACTTGATGATGTACGTGGATGAAAATTACACGAGTGTCCAACATCATTTAGGTATCCGGTTTGCGTTCCTAAAACTGGATACTTAGGAAGTTCCGAACTAATTATTTATTCGCATGATTATAGCATGTTCACGAGTACATAAAAATTGACCGCCTAAATTGCATCGTCTTCATCTGAAGCGCCGCGGTACTTCATCACCCCGATGCGATAGTATTTGCGCTCTTGACTCAGAAGCACCGGAGGACGCGTGTCTTGCGGCTCCTTCTGAATCAACGTTAGAGCAGCAGACTACAATTTTACTGTAGAGAACTAGCGAAGTCTATTTTGGTATCTTTGAAAATAATAGGTTGTAATCAATATCCATCGAATAAGAGGGATAATTTAGAATCTAATCTATATCAGGATGAGGTGGAGTCGCGCGCATACTTGGATTGATTGTACTTACTTTAATATGTGAAGACATGGATAGTCATAGTTGGATTGTACTTTTCACATGAACCACATCTCGGCCTTGGGATTCCATTGTGATAATTTCGGTATTTGCAAAGTGTGCTAGAATGCACGCCGCGGAGTTAAACAGGATCGTGATGAAGAAAAAGAAAATCACACCGATGACTGCGCCGCCCATAGCAGTTCCGCTTTCCGCCGCTTGGGGACTGGATTCCTGCGGCGCTCTTTTAGGGACAGACGAAAGTGCTGCCATTTCTGCTGCTCGCATTGAAAAGAGGCCGCCAGGAATTGAGTGATAGCCAAAATGTTCCGGTCCCCTCCCACGTCTCAGTAGGTGAGCATGATGCTGCCCTCGCTGAGGTTCTGCTGATGTATCTTCATCGTCCGAGTCGTAACGCTCCGCTTGTGTGAGCGTCATCACCGTCTTTACGCGATGCCTTCTTCTCTTATCATCGTCGTCAAAGCCTTCCCCACTGGTGTCCTCGTCCCTGTCAACGTAGTCTCTAGTATCAGCTACTGGTTCTCCGGAAAGACCGATTTCCAGCGCTGCTCTGCCACGCCGCACACGAGGATTCGAAGCTGCATGACCCTGAATAACGAGATTCATCGTCGCGCACATCCCTATACGGAAGAACACCCGCATAGGGTGTGCTATCCGTACAAGTCGAATCATTTTTCTTGAAAATTACTCTGTGGTATCATCCTGAATATTTTTCACAGTATCACTTATTGCGACCATCTCTTGTACTTATTTCAACAACTCTTCCTTTTTGCGAATAGACAGATGGGCAACACAAAACTTTCCTTTTGATTGGCGTATTTTGTCTGAGCCAAAGTCTCTAAGGGCAGCTCCGAAGTTCACCGCAGTCTGAAGATATTTCGCACCGGAGAAGAAGGCCCAACAAATACCTGACCCAGCAAGTGCTTGTTGGAAACGTCACTTTCCAACAATCGGAGTAGTTTTTGCAACTTTCTTTTCTCCTCATCAGCTTAGGTTTCTGTTTTTAGCTCAGGCTTTACAAAGAATGCTTCATGGTTTAGATCACGACACGTGAATTTTTGCCTAGCGCGAGGTGGTGCAAATCACGTGGTTCATTATAATATATGAAACTTGAAGACACCTGTTCCAGGAGAATCAGTTGTGAGGTAGACATTTTTTGGAGCCAGCGTTTGGATCGATCACCAGAGAGCAAAACGCTTAGGCTGATTCAAATAATGGCATTTATTGTATGAAACCATCACTGTCTTGTAGCACCACGAAAGGCAACGATTAGGATAGTAGAAGTTTCTGTTTCGTTTATTGTCAAATCAAAGTCCTAGTACAGAACAAATTAATCCCATACGCCTATGCGCTTTACTAAAGCACACTTGAAACAAACTGCTCACTCAATTTCAGACAGAAATTTCACACTCATTTCGTTGGTGAAGACTGCCACATCTATGCAAGCGCAGTAAGCGCTATATCTTTCAGAATTCTACGTACTACACAGGTACTCTTTACATTGAATCACTTGAGACTGGCCTAGTTGTATGTGTACTAAGCATCCTTGTATTTATAAGAAAACATGAACATCATCGCAATTAGCACTCACAGAAAAATTTTTATGTGTCATCTACCCTGGCAGGCTTTTCTACCTAAATCCCAGTAGAGTTTTCGCAAATCATACATCACTTCTCGTTCTCCTCGAATGGGCATGGCTTATCCTGGAACGACTCCACGCATGGCAGACCCCGTCGTGGAGGTTGCGCTTGTCTTATTAATTGATGCTGCACCTCCTCCAGCATTCGCATAGTTTTTTCCTTTGATTTTCTTACGGAAAGCGCTCTCTACATCTGCCGTTTTGTAGTTTGCCTTCTTCGATGTTGTGTTCACAGTGTCTCCACCCACACCCGCGGCGCCGAAACCCATACTCTTAGCGGATAAAAACGGCAAACTCACCAGAGTAGTTGGCGATGCTTTAGCATCCTTCGAAGATAAGCGTAAATCGTCTACAACAACTCCAATATCATCGCGCCCACCTGCATCGGTAAGTATTTGTGTCTCACCTCCTCGAACCCCGTTTTACGTTAGAAGAACTCGTAATTGATGCGGCATCATGATCCAGAGACTTCGTGTCCAACATCAAACAAACTGAGTGCACTTTTAGCTGCGGTTGCTATCGCGGCATGAACTGCAGTTTCAACCTACTTACTTGTGACAAGTACTACAAATTACTCTGGTGCTTAAGTTTCGGAATGTCCATACCACAGCCCTGCCGAATTGGCTGAGGGCACCGTGCGGGCGTCGCGGCGCTATAAAGCCTCGCAGTTGTAAGATTGTTGGTTCTTTCCACAACTCAAATTTAGTAGGCGCTCTCTCACGAGCATTGGGATGAGCCACGTCAAATAAGCGCTTCCTCCGCATCTCTTGCTGCTCTATGCTTTCACTTGGTTCCCCTAAAAACTTCGGTGTAGAAGTAGCTGTGACGTTGTTCTTCATCCCTCCTCCTGGTGCAGGAGGCGCGGCCGCGGCACTTGTTATAGCAGTTGCTGCTACTGCAGATTTGTGTACAACATTGCCTTGCGCACCTCCTGAGATGGGGACTCCTGTAGTAGGAGGCGTATTCTCGTCCACAACAACACCTTCCACGCCATCCTCCACGCCACACCTTGTTCTACCAGTGGCAGCACTATAACTTTCTTCATCATGATCCCCCGCCGGATCGTAGAGAAAGAGCTCTTGCGCATCGAGAAAGCGATCCTCTCGAAAGCGAGCGTACTCGTCGAATGTGCGGTATTCGACATTAAAGGGCATCTTGAAGCGCTTTCGCTTGCCGAAGTAGGTGCCATCCCCTAGCGGAATCTTCATCTTCTTCGGCATTTTTGTCACTTTGCGCGGTCGGGGGTAGCCGGGATTGACACTGCCTAAAAATACGAAATTTTTGGCCGAAGTATTGTGAGCGGTGAAGCCTGCTCCTTCGTCCGCATTATTTTGAACAGCATTGTGAGTCGGACTGGTGGTCACGACATTCTCTGTGGTAGTCCCAAATTGCGCCTGCTCCCCCAAGATGCCCTTAACAGTAGTCGTTGTCCCACCTCCAGTTGTTCCTGCTGTTCCTCCTCCAGTTGCATTTGAATTTGCAGTCTTGTTCCCGACGACTCCTCCCTTTTTCGAGGAGCGTCTCCAGTAAGCCGGATGCTCAGTGTTCACGCCCGCGATCGGCCGCGCCCGCCGAAACGGACTGCCAGGTGCATTCGGCGGCACCACATCGTGCTCCACTTTATTCAGTTCCTGGGCCATGAATGCGCGACGACGACGCGCACTTGCTTGTTCGTAACTGCGCTGAACGTCTGCACGTGCCGCGGCCATGCTTGCTGCCAGATCCAACGGTGGCACGAGACCAGTTCCACTCATGAAAGATTTTTTAGGACTTCCGGCACTGGAAGTTGTCGGCGTATTGAGGACATTGTCCGCAGTATTCTTCTGATTCTCTCCTGCTCCCGAAGGACTCTGTTCGGGAGAGGAAGGCGGATCACTATCTTCGGCAATGAGGCGCTCGAGTTCATCTTCATTCTCACCACGGAGTCGTCTACGAGCAGCCTGGTGAGACGGTGAGGCCACGATTTCATCTACCAAGCGATCTACTTCAGCCGAAAACGCTTTTTCCGGCGTTTTCGCAGTACCCTCTCCTTCATCAAGATGTTTTTCTCCTTCTTCATCACATTGTCGATCGCCTCGTTCTTGATCAACACAATTGCGGTCGGTTCTTGCATTAATGCTGTCCACGTTCTTGTCTGCATCCTTGGCACGACCACCGCGTGTTGTAGAAGAAGACGTGGCAGTTACATGCGCCCCTCCTACTCGCTTTCCTCCAAATAAATGCCTCTTGTTCACCTCATCATTGCCCTTGCCTCGTCCTTCTCTATTTCCAATTGTACTCGCGACGTCGCCTGCATCATCCACAAGATCTTCCTCTAGCAGCGTAGGTGATGGTGCACCTAGCAATAACGCAAAATGTGTTTCAGTTTTCCGATCGTGATTGTAAGCCGACCGGTCCCGCGGAGTAGGACGTTGCTGGGCGTAGAGATCTGAAAGCAACAAGATTCTCGATAGCACGATCTATCTTATCTGGTACACAGAACTGCATAGGGGGATTACAACTCTGACATCCCCAACTATGAGAGTTATCGTTCTAGCAAAGCTAAAAGATTGCGAAGTGACTATGCCGTCATTAACACACTGCTTCATTCCTGCGTCTCTTATTGATGGAGCACGATCTACGCCTTCTCTTAGCTGGACCCAAACGTATTCAAAAATACGTTCATTTGCCGGGTCATCGATAATGCACTGAGCGCGCTCCGAGAGTTTTTTGCGAAAAGAAAAGTCAATCTTTTTACGTGGAGAACGCTGTCGCTTTGGCGGCGGCGGAAAGTCTCGAGCTGCCTTTTTTGCCGCTCGATCATGCAGCACTCGTTGCGTGCGAGCCGCGACAGAAGCGGAGGCCGGAACCTTCGTCATCTACCTCGTATTACTTTCCTGTTTATTCCGTTTCTTTCACGAGAAATAATTAATGTGGTCGGAATTTCGATTGTAAAAGAAGTGACTCTTTCTTCTACTTGTGAACCTTAGTATAGCGCTTTTTCTCCGGGAGAGCAAAATGACGCCTCTTCGGGCTAGACAGGAGTTCTTTTTCACAAATCTTTCTTGTGAATACTGTGAGGTACCCTCATGGAGCTCAGAAAAGTAAATTCCACTCGCTTTTTTCCCTCGGCCGCCATCGCTCGGTGGATCCCCTAGTTCCTCTACATCCGTTTGCCCGGATCAACCAGAAAGGTATCTTCCGAACATGCCGGCAGTTGCAGACAACTCCGTCGACATGTTGTTTCGACAGCAGAGGTTTTGCGCAAAGTAAATGTTCGATTTTTAAAAAACTCTATAATGCGTGATTTTGTTTTCAATTTGCTATGGAAGCATAAATATGCTGTCATTTCGCGACACATCTTCAAGTCTCCAAGGTGTTATGCTGGTTTTGGCGTTTACCGTGCTTTCTCTGTACATAGCATATACAAATTTCATTATTTTGTACCAAGGTTATATGGGACCTTGAACTTTTTGCCTCGTGTTGCTAAAAAGCTAATCATCGAAGAGAATATACAACAGATCGCTCATCTTCGTCAGTTCACTACGGTCTGATCATCAATCATCATGTTGAGTAAATTATCTACATATGAGGGTTTACGGTCATCAAAGCCAAGTCTATACTACCTCACCGGTGAGACGTCAACTAACGTCGAAGACCTGGGAGCAATCATCGACACATGTGACGAAGCACAGTGGACGCGTCGACACTAATGTTTTCGACGCTAAGTAGTACATACCCAAGAAGATACTGGATGTCTCAACCAAAATACGATTCGTGAATTTTTACACCTTTCAGTTTACTCTTCAAGTATCACAGCCATCCAATATATCACCATTCTCCGTCTGACATCGTTAGTCTGACCTCGGGATGCGGTCTGATTTCATACATGAGGATGCAGGTGTCGATTGACGTCAGCTATGGATTCTGATGCTTCTTTCTCTTTGTGACCATGCCTTCGAGGGATTGTGGATTAATTCACGACTTGCTCTGCTCGGAAGAATCTCCCGGCATTGCTGACCCTGAGTAAACTACGACAAATAAACTATCATCCATAACTGCCACTTTCTTTGTTGATTGACCTAAGTAACGAGCGGATATTGAAAACCAAAAACGAAATTAATTTCATTGATATTAATTTCACACTTACCATGGGGCTTAACTTTTGCAAGAGATATTCTGAAAATGTAATCTTTAAGGGGCGGTGCAGGAACTCTAATTCGATTCTGAGGATTTGCGCTTCTTTACTTTAACGTATTGTGTGGTTGACCAAGAAAATGCCAGGAATACGGATTCCTGGTTTACAATCATATCGATGCGTCATTATGTTATGGGTATCGGAAAAATTAGGATTTTGTCCATACATTTTCTGTACATTATTCAAGATTAACACTAATCATTTCAATTTACCTCTTTCCTGGAATAGCACTAGCTACAAGAATCTTATTCTCCGCTGAGTAGTTTTTCCCTCGCTCCTTCGCCGTCAATTTTGAGGCCCCGTTCCTTCATCACCATGGTCAAGAACTCGTCCAGGTTGAGTCCTCCGAAATGGCCCAAGTCGTATTTTCGAACCAGCGTCTCCGCTTGCTCGATTGTCAGGTTGTCGAAGCCCTCTACTAACTCCATCGCTTCAACGATTTGATCACTGTTGCGGTCCAAATTTTCGAAGAACTCCAACACCACGTAGATGCTGCTGTTCACCTCTTCCGGGATATGCGCGTCTTCTTTCTTGAACTCCTGGAAGAAGTCGTTGCCCTTATCGTCGACGATAATAAACGCTGGAAAATTCTCTACTCTAATCTTCCAAACGGCTTCCATTCCCAATTCCTCCATATCCAATACCTCTACGCTCTTGATACAATTGGCGCTCAGTGTGGCAGCCATTCCACCAATGGAACCTGAGCATCAAGTTGTAAGTAATGAGACACGTTGGGCCAGAGAACAAAATCACAATGTGAATATGAAGATTATCATTATCTGCTGGTGGAGAATAAAATGATAATGCACAACATTACCTCGTATGCATTATAACAGAAGAAGATCTTCACTGTTCCCATCAGCCACTAACTCACATTTCGTACCGAGATAAAATCCTCCGTGCTTCGCGCAAGCATCCGTGACTGCCTGAGACCGGTTTCCCTTGCCGATCATAATCATAGAGCCGCCTACTGCTTGGAATGGTTCCACGTAGGGATCCATACGCCCGGAAGTAGTGGGACCAAAACTGCCGCTTGGATAGCCTTCGGGTGTCTTAGCCGGACCCGCATAGTAAACTGGATGCTTCTTAATGTAGTCTGGAAGCGCGTCTGCGCCACCCTTCTGAAGCTTGCCTGTATGGTGTTGCTTGGAAAGAATTGCAAACAAGCAATTGATATAGGTGAGGTGAATGCATTTATGAACCCGTCGCATTCAGCGAGATACTTAGCGAAGTGCCACGCTAAGTGCCACGCTGGGGGCAGCGCTGGGTGCCACGCTAAGTGCCACGCTGGGGGCAGCACTAAGTGCCACGCTAAGTGCCACGCTAAGTGCCACGCTGAGGCGCTGAGTGCTTCGCTAAGTGCTTCGCTAAGTGCTTCGCCAAGTGCTTTGTTAAGTGCTTCCGTAAGTGCATCTGAAAGTGCTTCTGTAAGTGCTTCGCCAAGTGCTTCGCTAAGTGCTCTGCTAGGTGCCTCATTAAGTGCCCAGCACTAAGTGCCACGCTGAGGCGCTAAGTGCTTCGCCAAGTGTTTTCTAAGTGCTTCCTTAAATGCTTCCCTGAGTGTCCTTGGGTGCTTCCGTAAGTGCTTCGCTAAGTGCTTCGCCAGGTGCTTCGGTAAGTGCTTTGTTAGGTGCCTCATTCACTGCTCCGCCAAGTGCTTCCTTAGGTGCTTCGCTAACTGCTTCGCCAAGTGCTTCCTTCGGTGCTTCGCCAAGTGCTTCCTTAAGTGCTTCGCTGGGTGCTTCGCTAAGTACTTCGCCGAGTGCTTCGCTGAGTGCTTCGCCGAGTGCTTCGCTGAGTGCTTCGCTGAGTGCTTCGCTATGTACTTCGCTAAGTGCTTCACTAAGTGCTTCGCTAAGTGCCTCGCTAAGTGCTTCGCTAAGTGCTTCATTCAGTGCTTCGCTAAGTGCTTCGATAAGTGCTTCGCTATGCGCTTCGCTATGTGCCTCCCTAGGTGCTTCGCTAAGTGCATCGTTAAGTGTTTCGCTAAGTGTTTCGCAAAGCCGCTGCGATAAGTGTTGGACTAAGTCGCAGTCATCACTTCAGCAACAGCTCAATGAAGCGATGCAGTCACCACTTAAGCAAGAGCTCGCACAAGTGATGCAGTCACTGCTTCAGCGAGAGCCTTCTCAAGTGGTGCAGCACAATGTGTACTACAGCGACAGCCCAATTAAGCGCTGCTATCATCAATTAAGCGAGAGCCTTCTCAAGTCAATGAGTAAGCGGCGGGCGGCTCAAGCAGAGCATCGCCTACGTGGAGTCTTTAATTGACTACCCGAACAGCCCGTTCCATGCTTTATACGGTAGTCAATATTCATGACCAAATCGTTTGCCACACTCACTGGCACGGAGTATCTTCTGTCACCACCTATTTTCGTAACACGTAAAAAACAAAGCTGTAACTGCTGAAACAAAAAGATAAAAGTTGTACCCTGCATTCGCGCATGCGCGATGTCTCTGGCCACGATCATCGTTCCATTGAGAGCTACTCGGGTTTTCACGGGGTATTGGCGTAGGGTTTTCAACATCTGGTCCATCGGTTGGTCCAAGTCGATATTCACCACAGACGCAGCCTTACTCTCAGCAGCCACGTTAACGGCTTCCGACTCCATTTCTGAGAGACCAGGGACTGGTGCATGCCAGGTAGAAGAAAACATAAAAATGTCTCCAGAATTTTCATCGTTAATAGTGCATCTTCACAACATTGAAATTCTTGCCCGAGTGAGAAATGGCTCATAAGAACTATTATCGAGGTCGTACGAATTATTAAGAAATTCATAAACATAACCATCGAACTTCTATAATAAAACGGGTGTAGCCAAGCTAACTAGGAAAAGAAAAAGGAAGGATAGTAGGATCGAACTTCTACAATAAAGTAAAAAGTTTCAATACCCTCGCCCTCGGTTGCCACGCTGTCTAGTGCACTAGTTTCTACTCTGAGTGTTTCCTGGTTGAGCTCCCACAACTTCTCCGGATGTTGTTCGAGCTTCTCATAGAAAACGCCGTCCGACTGTATGGCGACTTTCATTTGCCGATCCGCGGAGCAGGAAACGCCGATGCCGACAGGACAAGACGCGCCATGTCTCGGCAAGCGAATTACTCGCACGTCGTGAAGAAAATACTTGCCGCCAAACTGCGCGCCGATTCCCAGATTCCTCGCCTGGTAAAGAATTTTGCTCTCCATTCCCCGATCACGAAAGGCGCGACCATTAGCGGAACCTGCGGAGCAGCAGACCAATTTTATTACTTACAAGACCACGTCCAAAAAAACGTTCGTTACCATTTTAGCACAAGCAAAGGTGGCATCAAGAAGTTGTAGTTATAAGACCATATTATACTATATCACGGAACCGGAAAGAATGGTTTAAACAATTTGCATTTGAAAAGTTGTTACCGTGGTCTGGAAGCTGGTCATAGTATTTGCAGCTGGCAAGCTTGACGGTCTTCAGGTTTTGATCGGCTCCGAGGCCACCGACCACGACTGCGAGATGATACGGAGGGCAAGCTGCAGTTCCAAGTTTCATGATTTCATCCACGATAAACTTCTCAAAACTGGCCTCATTCAGCAGTGCCTTCGTCTTCTGGAACAGCTGGGTCTTGTTCGCGGAGCCACCGCCTTTTACGATGTACAAGCCCTTGTAGCTGGAGAAATCAAATAAGTAATTCGTTGAGAGACATTCATTCTTTATCATTGCAAAGGATAGGGAATCATCTCTGAATGAAAATAGTTGTGAAGCAAAAATAAACGCAGCTACTCCTCGACTGGGGATTGATGCACACGTTGAGAGCCAACCTCGGTGTAAAAATTTGCACCAAGAGAAAGAAGGCTAGAACTATCGGTGGTCATGAAAGTCCCTATACCTGCTTCCCGGTGCCGCCATGATGTCGATTTGTGCTGGGAGGTTCGTTTTCGTGTTCTTTTCCGTGAACATGGTTTGTGGTGCGACCTGAGAGTATCGCAGGTTGCCGTTTTGGTAGGCGTTCAGGATGCCTAGAGAGATATCCTGTTCGTCGGTGCCATTCGTGAGCACGTTGTAGCCACGCTTAGCCATCACCACGGCGGTTCCCGTGTCCTGGCAGGATGGCAGGATGCCCTTCGCCGACACCTCGGCATTGTTTAGAAGCTCCTTGGCGACATACTTGTCATTGTCACTGGCGGCTGGATCATTCAGGATTCGGTGAAGCATGAGCAAGTGGCTTCGTCGGTAGAAATGATTCACGTGGCGGACACAGGTCTCGGACACTTCCGTGAGCACCTCTGGCGGAACATACGTAAAACTCACGCCCTGTTGTAGTCAGGTTGAAAAATGATGAAGATTAAGTATCAGTATAAGCAGTCGCAAGTTACTGCTCCTGCAGGAAGAATCTACTTCTTATAAAGACTATATCGTGCAAGAGTTAAAGTTCTGTTGTAAAAGCAACGTGGTACTTGCTTTTCTGTGCATGAGCTCAAGCCTCATTAAAAAGAACGTACGACGTGAACATAATCATATGTATCACTACGGCCTTCCCGAGTTTCTGCGCTTGAATTAGCGGACTCAGCTGCGGGCATTTGACCCATTCCGTCGTGTCGAGAAACTCGTCCTGAAAAATGGGCTCGTACCCCCATGACTGGTTCGTTGCGAATGTTGTGTTGTCCACCTTAGAGCTTACAGCAGCACCCTGAGAAGTAAAACCGCGCTGAGAGAACGAAAAGTTCCTCCGGTGTCCAACAAGTCCTGGTCTACATATCCTCTCCAAGATTTTCTCCTGTTGGTTCTCCAACTTCTTGACAAAATTGCAACTGGTCTGTTTTCTAGCCACCAACGGCTGCAAGCGTCCCTTTCGCGCCCAGACAGAAAACATCATTATATTGGTCCTACTCTTACGTCCTTCCAAAAACAGATATGAAAGTTAGTTTTAGACTACTAGTTGTTGCGATATGATGTATACAGAGTGTAGTTATATGAGGAGCGTGGAATGTAGTAGAAAAAGGCCGCTATGATTTACCAAAATATGAAGATTGTCATATGAGAACTTAATACGAGAAAAGCAGTTGAAGGACCACACTCAACCTCGAATCAATATTACGTCAACAACGTATCTTCTGCATGCGCAACACTTGTGTATCGAGTAGCAACTGTCATCGACAAGCGTTATTAAGCGACTCGATCTTATCAGGATAAACAACAATTAATGGTTGGGGAAAATAACACTAACCTCTGTCCTGATTGAAAAATCCATAGGGCATGATACATCCATTGACAGTAAGACAAACCTTGGCATAAATCAGCCAAGGTGCATATAAGCGATCGGAGAAAAAAAATGATGTCAAACTTTCGGCCACACATCAATAAAGGCAGCACGTTGTAAGTGACTTAGGCTCGATTACATCGTGAAAACAACCAGGAGAGAAAGAAACCATTTTTGAGCCGATTTGAAGATGTGGAGAGTCACTCCAGAGGACAGAGTTGAACTTAACTGGAGCTCTCACGCTCTCACACAGACTTATATGATAGTATGCAGAATCGTAACAGAGAAACCGAGTTCGCAACTCCTCTCTATAACCGAAAAGCAATTCTTCACTTATCCTCTCGTCACAGAATCATATACCTACTCTCCGTACACCTACTCTCGTCCACAGAACAGACACAAACAGTTTTCATGCACAGATCATCATCCTTATCTTGGAAATCTAAATTATAATCAATATGGCAAACCGAGGAGGATCGCCTTCACTATCGTATCTTGTTGTAGACCAGTATTATACATAACCGATTACAACTTTGACAGAGGAGAAGATCCGAACACTAGGTGGCTCTCTTTTGCAGTGCTAGTCTGCCGAAAGGCCACGCCTCACAAGCAACAGCATGTAAGCAAGAGCAAGCTGCTAGATACAGATCGTCTACTGTGTAAAGGATTCATAACTGGACAACGACAGAGAGCCAATATCTTGGCATTAGAATAACCACTCAAAATCTTTGGTTTGATAATGTAATGCGACACTACCACGACCAGCGACAACCAGCTGCATCTATCCACGGTAAACCGTACTCTTCCTACAAGACCACATAAGAAGCTTCTGGTGCATATTACAATTCCTGACTTCTCATCCGCCTTTTTCTCTGTGCATCTGGTGTAGTTTCTTCCTTTTTCACCTCGGCCTATCAAGATCGGAGCAACCTTGTAGTTGGTGATTGTTTTGTATAGAAACTCTCTTCTTGTTTTTGTCTTTTCTTGTGGCACTGGCATCTCCCGTGCTACGAAGAAAGCAGTGATAAAAACCAGGATTATGCTAGAGAAATCGGCCACTCGACGTCAGTATCCACACCGAGCCCAAGGAGCACACCATCCCCGCTAGCGCTGCGTATTCGCCGACGCACCATATCCACCGGTTTTCCCGAAGATTTGGGTTCTTGGTCCACCCAACCCAAACAGCAAAAAAAGCCGTACTCCATAACGCGTTACATAAAAGAATGCTAGATTTTCTCATTGCCTTATGACTTCTATTCCTAAGTGCAGGTGGAAATAATAGCTGCTTACCGTGGTTACCGCTCCCCCCCGCTTGCTGTAGACTTGCTCTAAATGGAGAGCGGTACCAGTACGCTTTACTTTGTATAACTGGGTGCTTACTTACGCTGCACACAGCAAGATGAAAAAACCAGCACAGCGTCCTTAATATAAAGAAAGCCCACAGCACGTAATCGCCGAAGGATACAATGAAGCAAGAGAAGATGGAATATCAAAATTTTCTGGGATCGGAAGATGAATAATGATGTGAAGATGACCGTAGTATGTTTGAATTTTCTTCAGGACCAAGCTGAACAAAAAAAGAAATGAGTACAACAAGGATGCCTTTTGTGCTTTGGCAAGATCTATTCAGTTATTATAATTCCACAATCATAAACGTATATTCGCTCCGAAGATTCGGCATGTCCTCGAAGTTATCACGGGTATAGAGCGTCGTGACGCGCTCCGCATGGGCGGGGACTTCGGTGCCATGCCTACGCAAATTTCGTTCGCGAGCTTGTTGCTCCGTAAGCCCTGCACGACAAAGCGATACTGGTAAATTCTTTCGATTCTTCTCAGCTGCCTCGGCTATGCTTTTCTTCGCTGCTTTTACCGAGGTCAGCGGCATGACACTCACTTTGCCAGGAAGCACCTTCTTGCCATTCTTCATTGGTATGCTGCTCAGAGGCTCGGGTGACCCCAAGCCGTGCGCCTCCGGTGATTGCCACTCACCTGCGTGCAGCAAATCGTTGGGTCGCTCTAAATTTGTTCCACTGTATGCTCTCCTAGATAATGTCAAAAGTACGGAGCTGGTGGTCCGCGTTGATCCCCTGCTTAAAAATATAGTTGTATCATCCCTTGTTAGTTGTAGTTCTCGTCCTGGACTAGATCTTTTTCTACTCCCCATCGGCAGCAGCCCCATACAGGAGTTGCGGAGCAAAGGTATAACACCTGTTTGACTGGCGCATGATTCCGTGGAATTAGTACGGTTCTTTTGTCGTAATGATGCGTCTGAGGCCATGGAGGCGATACCCCTGTGGCTCATAGATTGTTGCACCCACGGTACCGGTGCACGCACTGAAATTCGCACGCAGGACGACGACGATGACAACATCATATTCAGAACATCAGAGCTGAGGCAAGACTGACCGCTCACAATCCGTAGTTTCAACTCGAAAGAAGCGCAAACAATTATCTTCTCGACACCCTTCTAATAGAATTTCTTGGAAGTACACCATCACCCATTATGAATGAGCAAGAGTTTGTTTATCCTCGACGCTTCTGTGCTAAAAGATACGAACAGAGGTGTATTTTCTTCACGATGGCCTCCACGCTGAAAATGGTTGTAATAGTCAAAAAAAATTTCCGCTCAGGGATGCTAAAACATGGGAAGTCATCGTCGTTTCGCGTCTGCGCTGGTTCAAGGTAAGAGAATGCTCTCTTTCTTTTGCACATAGAAAAGATGAGCTTCAGGAAACCCTCGCGCTCTCCCGTCAGCGTGGTTCTCCATGTGCGATGACACGCATGCAGAAGTGGATCATCCGTCTACCACAACCAAGGGCGTTCTAGCTCTCGATACTGCTGACGAGAACCCTCAAAAGCGAAACCCCCTCTCGAGATCGCATTCCATACTGCCGGGCTCATCAGCAAACAAAACAAACACTGCCTCGGTCGGAGAGAATGATCCGACACTCGGTTTTCCAGTGAACAAGTTTAGGTCGTGATACTAGAGGGGTACTAGATGTCGATAACAACTCGCTCTAAGTCGTTTATCTTCTGGCAAAGATGTTGTCTCAACAGGTCAGAGCAATATGCACAATGGGGAACAAGAGGGATATGGTAACGGGGGAGGGGGAGGATCAACAATCTAGGTCTGGCGGTGGTGCCAACACTGTTGTCAAGAGCACCAAGAGGCGGGTAGTAGTTTGAAAGCCCTGCATCTCCCGATCTGTAGCGGAATTTGCTACGACAATCAGGATTTCACGTATGGCACACCAATGAGCTTTCCCCCATAGTACGCTGATATTGGTGCCAGAATAAGAGAGATCAGCGCCGAAATCACCTCTGAAACGACGAAACTCACAAGATATTGCCCCGTTGCTTGGACCTGAACAATGAATGTAGAAGAATAATTGTTGACGTTGCAAGGCATTCCTCTACACATAACAGCTCCTCCTTGTTAAAAAACCGTGGTCAGAAAATACATTTACACTTAAAAGAGCTAGTACCATCGTCATTCCCTCCTTGTTGAAGCACTGATTGTCGTAGAGCTCCGTCATAAAGCCCTGCGTGCCTGCGCCTAGTATTACGCCAAACGCGATCCTGAAACATAAATCGGGTGTGAAATTTCACTTCTTCTGTTGTCAAGAAAACGTTTCATCATCTGCAAAAGGCACAGCAAACTATTAGATGAGTACGAAAAAGGAACACGCTGATTAGTATGGTGAGTGGTAAAAACTATAAGGAACATCACGTTTATTAGGAGTAGTAGTGGTTTTAGTATTGATGATGCAAGGCGAAGATGAGTAGTAAAAACTATAACTATTGCTATAGTTAGAGGGACAAAACACTCAGATGAAGATGCACGCTACTCATTTACTGACAGAAGCATACATATTATACATTCTTACTCTAGTATATGTTTATTTGGTACTTACCATTTCATGCAACTGCTGAAAAGGTTCACGCCTGCTTTGCACTGAACGGAGTCTGGTACTGCGAAAAAGACCACACAGTCTACAACATCCGCCACGACTCCGATTCCTGCTAGAAAAAAGGCTGGTAGGGTCATGTCGTGTACCTGTATCTTTTGAAATTGGAGGGGTAGTTGTTGGCTCATTCATTTTTTCATCAATGATTATTTAGAAGTTTGGATGAAGGAATTATTTAAGACGAGGAGCTTCTCTTTCTCCCAGGGGGAAAAAACAAATATTCCAGATCCACCAGAGGGTTGTTAAAATACAAAATAAGGATGTCTAAAAGGAACCATAGCCTTTGTCTGGCACACTTCGGACTTGCATGTTCTTGGTATATCTGCGAAATCTCGACACCAGGCAAACTTTTTGAGATCACCACCTCCGCACATATTTTCACCGTCTTGACAATACAGCCCTACCGTTGGTGATCGCTCGCAGATGTAACCTGAATGTCGGACGAGTTGGAGTCTTTTTCATTCAAAAGTAGAATCACATTGTGGAATAGAGTTCGTTCTTCGACGAAGAAACAAATATTTTTTGGATGACAAATATGCTTTTTACAGCCGGCTAGTATCAATCGTCCAAGGAAGATTTGTCTATTGATATGGAGTAGAATCGCTACAGTTTCTGCGCATGAAAAAAGCAATACCTGGAGGGCAACACCTATCGTAGCATAAGTCGTTCATTTCGTTATTGCACTGGTCTTGCAATGTACTTCGCAGGCACGGCAAGACCATCGCTCCAGAGTCGCCCTTTAGTGTCCCCGTATAATTCGCTTCCAATTGTACCGTTAAGTGATCGCGAAATATTATGCTAAACACGAACGCGACGATCGCAGAACCTGATATATTCATAGTTAAATAAAGTATCATCACTATGGCGCCTCAAGTAGTCATCCTAAACTACCGGCCAGACCGATATTAACCAACATTTTTTTACTACAAGCCGCATTCCCTGCATCTTCGTAGACGTAACTTGTTCAATGTTCATAATTACTCATCGAAGTATAGTAAGTGAGTACCCAGTGCCAACACTGTGAGGAAGACTTGTATGATGGACCGGGGTGACAAGTGCTTGATTATGCTCAATTTGCTTGTCGGATCCTTGCGCGCTGGTGTTGGATTGATGATCGCGGTCTCCTCGCCACCGGGACCGACATCTCCGAGAGTCTCTGGCGCAACGTCCGCCATCTTGTCCTACCGCGAGGCGGAAGCGAGCAGTACTGCTGTGTAGTCCTAGAAACTAAAAGCCGCGAGCCTCTGCGTTGTGCTAGAAGTCAAGGTTACTGGTGCAGTGTAGTTCTCACTGAGAGAAGTCAGTGCTCGATACTGTCCTTGCGACGCAGAAAATGTAGCGCAGTGGGCCTTGACGACTTTTTTCCTGATTTTTCTACTCCAACTGCACTGTTTTGGTGAATCAGCAAAGCTTTTGTTGAAAGCTAGCAGGTCGAAACCTCATTACGCTCGTAGCAGGACGCTGCACGTGGTAGCTCCACTCAGTTCAACTCTGATGATGCCGATAAAGACCGCCTCTGGTAGCTTGTGTGTCCATTCGCGGCTACATCAGCAGTTGTATCGAAGAGGCGCTTTAGACGTCTAGCGCCAAAAATGACGTTTCGCTATCGTTGTGCGTATACCATTTCTACTCATAGAGCGAGAAGTGATCGTTCTATTCATATGCAGGTCGCAGCTACTGATTTAACTTCCCGCGGAAAAGAATAATCCTCGCTACTCATACAGCAGACTGTTGTGGAAATTGTCTCGCGTTGAATTTTACTCGCAGTTTTGACCTGAAGTATCGCGGTGTCAACATGCAGTGGGCGGTTGCGTTCTCAACAGCGAAAAAACCCCGAAATCATGCAGTCACAGCCAGCATGATCTGAGGAAGACTGCGCGGCGACTGCTATGAAGTTCTTGTACCTCTTCTATCCCCTCCAGGTGCTCAGCGATTTTGGCCCGTTGCCGGTGCCTCCATGTAGTTGAAGAACCTGTGTTTTCTAAATTCTTCGTTATTGTTGCAGGGATAAAAGCTCTTCATTTCGTGGTAGGCCCAATGGCGTTGTTAAAACTGGTGTAGACCAAAAACTCTCTGTTGCAGTTGCGGAAGTGCTAGTCGGGAGCCCCGCTGTTCTCTGACCGAAATCGTGTTGCTCGCTCGAACTGCGAAAGACCCAGCTAGCTCGCCGAATAGTGCTGCACCCTTCCTCGTATTCCTATTCCGCGAAGCTAAAGTCTTTCGGTCATAGTCTTTCTTCTTTCATGCACTTTCAAAAGGGAGATACTAGCCAATCAAATACCCACGAACATTTAAGTTGATATTCAAGATAAATCAAATACAAATACAAAGTTACGACATACAAGAACGAATGATGCAGTCAGCCAAGAATTCGCTATAGCTACCCCAACTTGATATGTCGATCAATTTGAAACGGTGATCGACGTAAGGAATACTAATGAAACTTCAGTGTCCTGTTTGGAGACGACAAAATTCAATATGCCTGTCGCAATCGACTTCTACAATTTGAATGGGAGTGATACACTACATCTCGCTTTTGCGAAGGGGAAACACCAACAAGGGGCTGGGGTGACGAGCTGCATCTCATTGGGGATAACAAAATCTCTACTCTCGAACGTACAAAATCTCAGGTACTCGAACGCACAGGCTTGTCAGCAACGACCTCTTTGGTAAATCCCTCACCCTCATTGGTATTGCACTGTGGAGCTCCGATAAAATATGTTTCCTCAGTCACACAACAAATCTCTCTTACACTCACCAAGTCAATACTTTTACTCTTCAGCTCGACGATTCAGCAGGAAGCTGCAGATCAAAGAAAGACACTTCAATGTCGTCGAAGAGCTCAAATTTACGCGACCTGTAAAATCAATTGCTGTCAAATGCTCCTGACAAAAGATTATACCTCGACCAACAATTAATCGTTGGAAAGCGAAAAACTACTTCAGGAGGACACAAGACGATGCACCATTTGATGTTATGCTTGTTGCGACGAGCGAATCGTTTCCTTCCATCAGTTCTGTCAATGTATTGATCCTCTGATAGCCTGAGCTGGAAAAAACAACATCAAAATAATAATTCTAATAAATTCAACGAAGTCATAAGAAATTGGCCATGATTCCTTCAAAGTGATCCAAATCTGCATGCGCTTTGTTTCTTGGGCCTGGGAAAGCCGCAGAAGCCAGCCGCGAAGGCACAGGAATCCGGGAGAGGAACCGGCCAACAAAGGATTCGCGACCGCGGACGACAATGTCCGCTAAAAACAGGAATCCGACCATACTGAGTGGTATTGCCGCAACTCCTTGCAGCCAATGCTCACCCCAGCTTTTAGCGAATGTGGCCCAAGCCGCGTCGACAAAGCCACAGCGATCCAGCATGAAGCCTCCAAGCCCTAAGATCGCAAAGCCGCACAGCAAAATGGCGGCATTGCGCGCGCCCCACTCGGTATTGCGGTAGATGTAGAAAGCGTACAACGGAATCAGCAAAAAAATTCCGATAATTTAGAGAGGAAACTTTAGATACACCGAACACAATGGTAGAATGAAAACAAAAGCTAAAAAGTCAATTCAGGAGACTACTTGACCAAATGTGGAAAAGTAAGCCCGACCAAGAGCAACCTCGAGGAAAAAAATTTAACCAAATCAGAGCCACATCAAACTTTTCTATTTAGTTCTACTTCTTTTTCTCATCTTTCATATACTAATATCAGTCCTTCTGACTTAAGCAAAAACCCCTTTGACGATGCCGAAGGTTGGCGAAACTTTTCCTTCGATGTCTCGAAGTTTCATAGGCGGACGTTGGTCCAGCGGGACTGCGGCATACTCGTAGTGCTTCACCGACTCTCCTTCCTCGTAGGGAGGCCGTGGCTTTACATCTAGACCGAGTCGTGCAGCCGGCCCAGGTATATTCTGTAAAGCACGACCTGGCTGAGCATTGGTTTCGACCCCCAGGCGATCCATGGGACCTCCCTTAGTTTTCTTCTTGTCGTGTTTGATGTCTTAGGTGAGGTTGTGAAGTCGATATGCATCACATTTAACAGAAGAACTTCAATTTTATTTTATCTAGAATTGTGGGATAGGGCGAAGGGCTTTCCGATCGATGTTGCATCACATCGATCAACAGACAACACCAGATCTCCCCATTTTTTATCTAACATGGTCGTGCCATCATGACTCTATCAAGACTCATACATCTGGCCATGGTACTGCTAACACAGGTCGAATATATTCCAACTAAAAAAATTCGCTTGGACTAAAGATGTTGATCAAAATCCCGTAACTTTGTCCCGCATCTCTGTTGTTAGATAGGACGTGAAGACCGTCCCTTTTTGAGATGTGCTTTGCAGAGTCATTCCCCTTCTTGGTGGCCTTGACTCCATGCCCTTGTGAAAGCAACTCGGTTGTTCTTGGACTCCTCACATATTTGTAGCTTCTTGTCCGCAAAGCGTAGACAGCAGCGTCCGCGCACGAAAAGGTCAAAAGGAACCAAACGAGTTTGTTCTTCAAAACTGCCGCCATACTTGTCTACTTGATCTTCTTCGCATTCTTCTAAATCTGGTAAGCGACTGCAACGAACAGCTAATCATATCAATCTGACAAGGACTGAGCGGATCGCCTAGTAGTTTCGTGTTCTGAAGAAACCTGGCCTTTTCCTCCCTCTCGGAAAGTTCACCCAAGTTCGTCTCATCAGTTTTGAAACAAAGGATCTCACATTGAAACATCGGTCACATAGTACTCTTTCGGAGTATAGCGTGTGATTAGTCAAGCATCTGGTTGCCTCAGGTGTGAAAAGGCCCTATATGTGACCAGCATAGCCTCGCCGCACGCGGAAGCTGGCATATGGACGCGAGAGCCTATCTAGCCTCTCTCTGTGATCTACCCGATGTGCCTAGCAGCGATGGAGTGAATCCTGACAATTACTACACGAAAAACCGTCCCCACGGACGCCCACGGGCTTGGCGGAGCGGAGACCCCGTTTTGTGATCTACTATTTTTTCCTCAAAAGGTAAGCGTAGGCGTGTGTTGCCTTTCGCAACTGCTTGGAGAACATAGGCCCACCAGTGGACAGCAGCAAGAAGTAGATGTATCCAAGAGTCCGGTAGACACAAACGACCTATGAGCAGAGAGAACGAGAAGATCCTATTTCTCACTACTGCAAGGACACAGATGTGACTATCTTTAGTGAAGTATCCATATTGTCGTGGTACCTAGCTAGGAAAGTCAGTGCAGTCTACATAGTTCTATCTAGGTTCAAGGTTCAGGATTTAAGGTCCGCAGGTCAGCGGCCAGGCCGCGTTGTCTGGGACGATATGCGACTGTCAATCCGCAAAGGGTCAGGTGTCTGTAGGAAGCACTGCACAGCGACTCGACCAGCTTCCAAGTGCTGACAATCGGCTCTGTCCAGTTGCTGGAAGTGCGCCTCAGATCACCGTCAGCGCCACCGCACTAGTGTACTTTCTACTCTGTTTTAGCCTCCTTCACTACTGTCTACAGGGAGATACATCCGCGCTGCGCTTTCTCAGCGAATCTACCCCCTATCCTTCTTCAGTGGTCGGTGGCAGCTGAAAGCGTCATCAACGTCCGTCGCCGCACCTCGGTATTCCATGCCTCGTGATTCACTTTCCAAATGGAGCTGCGGGTGGGTCCCGTATTCGCTTTCGCATGCAAGCGAGCAGCGGCGTCTACTTTCCAATTCGTACTGCAACCTGGCACCCCGCACCAAGAAAAATCTTAATCTTTTTCACCACCGCAAGAACAACTGCCGAAAGGATTCGCCCGCCTCCTTCTTCCACCTTGTCGATAGCTTCTAGCCTGCGCGCAGACCGACTACGATATCTCGTCGTTCGAGAATATCCCTAGCAATATGATGTAGTACACTTGCAGATGCCGCACCCCATATTTGGTTACGCTAGCAACGAGATCTCGACATCTTCAGCAAGCACGTCGAGATTTCTGGCGTCTTCAAAAGGTGCACTATGAAAATTCAAAGTCGTTTATTTACTCATATTCTGGTAGGTCGATTGCGCTCCTTCACCTGCAAGAACGCCGGGACAGAACCGCTTCAGTAGGATCCGCGTATCATCACAGTTTTGTAGCCGTGCAATGAGCGTACGCACCTCTTTTTGCGTCAGTTCAACTGTCCGCTTGCTTCCCTTGCTTCCGGACGCAAATTTCCAGACTTTGCAGCATTGTCCAAATGCGTTCAGCCGCTTCCAGGGCTCAGAGTGCAGCGCCTGCAGCGGCGAAGTGTCGAAGGAAAGCCCGAATCTTGTCACCTCGAGCCAGCCCCAGAGAGAGAGAAACCCAATCCCGATGCAGACCGCGAGGCGCCAATTTTTCACGCTGGAGAATATGTTCATCACGAAAAACCAGAATAGCATGGTGGCCGCAGTGTCGAACATTTGGCGGGCGCTGCTTGCCTGTGTAACCACGGAGTGAAATGCCTTGTAGTCAAACGCCGCAGAAGCATGGGGGAACGACACCTGTTGACTACTGAAAGTTGTGCCACGAAAAGCACCTGGTGAAGTGTTAGCAGCAGGAGTTGTCCCCTTGCTGCTGTGAGTGGAGTGCGGAAGGGTATTGGTAGCAGCGCCAGGCGCCGTTGCAGTCGTTTTGCTGGGGTTGCTATTTTCGTTTGTGTGTTCGGTGTGCTGCTGCATCGTGGAGTCCAACACCTCGGAGGGTGTATCTTTGAGCCTTGCGCATTGCTGTTCCACGGCGAAACAAAGCGTTTGTACGAACAGCAGCAACACCGCGATGAGCCAGGCCCAGACTTCGGCAAATCGCGCCAGCGTGTCCTGGAAGGCGGACCAGTTCGACAAGAACTCGTCGCTGCTGGCGAACTCAAATTCGGAGGCAAAGCGCATTGCGAACATCACGGAAAAAAGAAATGCACCCGCAACCGTGCGAAAACTAGAAAGCTGGGAGCTTAAGGCCTGCCAACGCTGCTGCCTGGGAAGAAACAGTACTTCCAAATACAAGGCGCGACAGTCCAAAATCTTCTCTGGCTTAGTCACAGTTTTGGCATTATCTGTCGCGGCACTCAGGATCTCCTTCCCGCTCCTGCGCGACCGGCAACGTCGACCGCATGAGAACGGTCGCCAGCAAGTGCTGCCCTCGCTGCAGCCGCACCAATTGTCACAACGACAGCGTCTTTGGTGCACCTCACTTTCCCCCCCCAGCTCGTTTCCAGTCTTCTCTGCAGAATTGTTCCCTTTCTCCATCTCGTCCAGTGAAGACTCTGCTTCATCCGCTGCTCGTCCTCGCCGTCTGAAACAGCCTCTACTTAGAGGTTGAAGATGCGATGAAGCTGGGGACGTCATTTTGTTCTCGGTGGACGCCTGCTTTCCCTTCTCCGCTGGCCAAAGCTTGTTGAGGAACTTAACGAACACGGCGAGGCACTGCCGGTCGTCCTGCCAGAGTTGCCATCCCTGCAAGCACAGATCCGGCGAAAGGAGCAAGCGAAGGTCATCGGCGACCTTGCGCGCAAATTCTTCCTGCTCCATCGCGGCGGTCTGCTCCACTGATTTCTCGTACACACCCCTTCTGAAGAGCGCCGCAAGAAGCCCGGACCGACGCGACTGCACCTGTGACGCCAACCGCCCCACGTTCAAAGCAACCGGCCGCGCGTGTGAAAGATGGTTTGTGGAGGCGACAAGGGTCTCGGACGCGCCGCCTGTTGGTCTTGGTCCACCAACGACTTTAAAATCCAATAAAGCGCTTGCCGATGGTGGCGCAGTCGCGTCGCCGTGACCTTGCACGGAGAGGCCACTCGCGTTATCCTGGTTTTCATCCGGAACAGCCACGCCTTGTTTTGAAGCCGCTGTAGCAATCTGTTCTAGTTGCGCCTCGCGTTCCTCTCGCGCAATGGCGGCACCTTCTTCGGTCAAGAGTTTGGTAAGATTTTCCCAGATACCTCGACCTTGTTCTGTCCGCTGCCATTCATCCGCCTCCAGCGTCACCATCTCTGCAGAGGCAGTCTGCTCTGCACTTCGCAAGACCACGAGCGGGTCTTGCTCAGATGCGATTATCATCTTTTGACGCAGCGAATCGTAGCCTGGCGGTGCGGATTGTGCTCCGCTACTTGACGCAATAGACCACGCGTCGTCGCGCTTCGGGTCGGCCTCTGATGCAGCCCCTCCCCTTGCCGACGAAAGCCGTAGTCGAGTACGAATGACAGACGGGACCTGGTGACGGCGCAAACGCCGCGAGAGCAGCGGCATGAACGGCACCACGGTCGACGAAGCCCGAAATAGCGTCTGTTCTTGCTGTTTCGGCATAGATGGCGTCTCTTGGACCCGTCGTGGGTCGCTACCAAATTCGAGTACAACCGCATCTGGGCTAGCGCTAGCCGAGCTAGCGGCGTTGCCCGCACCGCCTTTCGAAGTGCCACGATCAGCCCTGTTGGAACCCGCATCGGCGTCCTGCTGAGGGGAAAGTGACTCATCTTCTTTTATTTCCTCAAGTTCCGGCAATTCTGGCGCGGCGAGCGTGCCAGGTTTCAGCACAGCAAGCGCCACTTCAAGCGTGCCGCCGAAACACTTTTCCACACCCTTAGTAAAGCCTTCCAAATCTTCGAGTCGCTGCTGAGTGGCGGCCACGAGTTCGGATTTCTCCTCGGAATTCATACCGTCTTCCTGCAGGGCCTCTTGGAGATCACTCAAAAGGTGCTCCCGGAGCTCTGCTCCTTTTGCCACGATCTCTTGAACCTGCTGCGCCCCCCCGATGATCAGGTGCCGAGCCTCCGCAACCTGATCCGCGCCTATATCAGTGTGCGTGTAGTGGCTTGCCGCGTCACTCGGCGATCCGTCATGAAGAGGCCTTTCTTGACTACCCACGCCGCGCTGCCCCTTTCGTGGGGCTCTTCGTCGCTTTCCACCTCCGCACTTGCTTGTGCCGTCCGAGGTGTAATTGCTTACGACATCGTTATGTGGTTCGTAGTCTACAGCACTCCCCTCGGCCTGGGGCGAGTATTTGCGCTGTATTCGACCGAGAGACGGCTCCTCAGCCTGCAGGTTCGTGGGGTCATGCTGCTGAGGCGTATTGTGCAATGCAGAAGACGAAGAAGACTCGCACTTGATCTTTCCGTGCTCAGCGTCTGCAGATGCATCCACTTTTGAAGACCCGTCTCCGCTTCCAGGTTGATTCATCTCAACTTGTTGGAGGGTGGATGTGTTACTTTTACTAGCAGCTGCAGTCTGCGCTGTCCCCCTGGCAGCGGGGGTCTTCTGCAGCGACCGCGCTGTCGGTGCTTGTAGGAGATGCGATCGACGTGATGTATGGCCCCCTTCCGCTCCCGTAGACCCTAATGGAAGTGTTTCAACAACGCCTGCACCCCCCTTTTCAGGAGAGGCTTGAAAAATCACCACGCGGAAGGGCTTCAGCGTATTTGTCGAAAGATCGAGATTATCGGATCGACGGAGATAATGATCTCCTGGGAGCTCCTCGACTGGCAGAGGCGTGCTGTCATCGTCTCCTTCCTCCTCTCCCTCGTCCCATGTTTGTAACTGCTGCCCCACGGCCTCGAGGTGCTGCTTCGTCTCTTGCCACTGACGTGCCAGCGCACAAATCTCAAGAACCCGGTCTGCTCGCTGCACGCGCAAGCGGTTTGCGCCTCCGAAGGAGGCATTAGACGATGCAGGCGTTCCTCCTGCGCTCGGAGGTGCCTGCGCTGATGCTGTCAAGATGTCGGCGCCCGCGATCGGCGATGTCATGGAAGCACCAGGAGGCGAATCGAGTGAAAGGTGCAAGGACTGCCGCGCGTGGTTGATGTAACTGCCGTTGACATCTCCATACCCTTGTTGCGACGAGCTGTCTGGAGCCCTCCTCCCAGAATGTGCTCCCTCATGTGGTGTTCCATTTGGAGGTGTTGTAGTTGCCGTTCCCTTCATCGCGACACGAGTTTTGTAGTCCTGCAAGAGCGATTCCTGTAAAGCTTCGAGCTTTGCCGTGGCTTCCTCCTGCGTTTCTTCGACAGCGACCGCCAATTCCTCAAGCATCTTGGCTTGACTATGCGGTGGGCCCTTAACGGCTGCCTCTATAGGCTCGAGACCAGAATCTCCTAGTTTTCGGTCGCGAGAATCTCCACCACCCAGGGCGATTCCTTCTCCGATATCGACGATGAATTGTGCTACGGGTGCCGGTTGTGCCTCCACAACTTGTTGCGGGACTTCATCAGCGCCCATGGCGGTTCGCGGTGGCTTCGGCACGAAAGTGGCGGCTTGTGCAACTCCCGCTGGATGCTGGAGGGAGGCACTCTCAGTGAAAGCTGCGAGCGATGATGTCTGCGGCTCGGCCGCATTGGTAAGTTGCGCCACGAGCGCGGTCTCCGTCTGCAAAAGTGTCTCACGCTCAAGCAGCAGCTCCAATGCTCGCTGTCGTAACGAGGACGCGGAGACAAATTAGAGGAACAAGAAAGCTCCTGCGCCTGTGCGTGCTCTTGGCGGCATGCCTGTCACACGTGTTAACGTCAGAAACTGTACCAAACGAATCTCTGATCTCACAAGAGAAGCTGTTCGTGGGAGAGAGTGCTGGCAGAGTGGGTGCGCACGTCTGTACGAGTACAACTGAAGCACCGTACTCAAAATAGTACAGAGAAAGAGAAAAAGCGAGGTGTTCTTTTATACCTTGCGACGAATAGATCGCCCAGAAGCCGCCCAGAACCTTCATCCTCTTTCCAGGAATCTTGGAAAGCGAAAGGTGAGTCAGATTTTCTGATCTTCCGACTTAAAAATATATGCCTGGCTCTTGCTCCTGCCAGTCTTCCTCTCTGGCGGCGGACTGGATGAAGTCTGCCAATTCCTCGATCTTCTGCCGCCGCCCTTCGCTGGCTATTTTGCCCACATCCACTCGTTCCACAACTACCCTTTGCTCCGTCCCCAACACCGCTACGTTTATTCCTTCTAACATCTGACTTGCCGAAGAGGATCTTGTACTACCTGTTTGAAGGTGTTGTTGCACAGATGATGTCGAATCTGCCGCAAGTAGTGCCTCCAGGGAGTCCGCGTCTTCAGCAAATCCGAGTTCTCGCTCGACATCCTTCAGCTGCTGCTGTACAAGTTGCAAACTAACCTGGGCACTATGCTCTCGGTGCTGCTCCTCGGGCCGCGGCTGCGCGCGCTCCCCAGGCGGATCCTCGCGGGGGGATGAGGAATCCCCACCAGAGAAGAAGCGCATCTTCAACGAAATTCAGGGGCTACTTCCTGTGTCACGCGCGAAAATTGTATACTCTTTCGTCGCCTAGATGGTACGACTGCAGCAGCAAATGTAAACCAAGACCAGGAGGGCTATAATTCTTTCAAGAATCAAAATCGTTCGGCTCCCACCGTGCCATTCCTGGAGCTTCTGCTTTATGATTCTTTCATACCGAGCGGGGAGATTTTTATTGCAAGCTCTTGTAGTCAATCATTATGATCCTCCTTGTTACGAACATACACAGAAAGTGACACATTGATGATCCAACTAGGACACTTGATACGCGCTACGGCCTATTTCTCTCATCATTGTTGTGCGCGTGTCATATATCTACGTGTAGTTCTACTTGCAAAGTGTAACCAAACTATATCTACGTAGTGCGCATATTGATAAAACATCTACACGACAAGTGCTTCCAATTCTTTTTCGCATAGAAGTGGGCGATTGCGAGAAGCTCATCTGGAAAGAAACTCGTCTCCAACTCAATCGATCAGTGCTCACAAAAAAATCTGCGTTGACTCCACGATGTGGGCTTTGTTGACGCTGAGTTTTTTCAAAAGTGAAGAGCATAAGAAAACTGAAAGCAAAGAAAGGAAAGAGAAACGACGACCCAAGGAACGATGTAATAGAAATAGTAAATAATAGCAAATAAGCTTTTGTTGATGCTACTGGAACTGACGATAATGATGGCGATCACGAGAGCGATAGCGCTGACTTTGAGCTATTGCGGCTCTCTCTGTGAATATTCATAAAGCGCATAAGTAGACCACTTTGCGAACAAAGGAAAAGGATTACAGCTGGTTATGATTTTAGGCTGTTTCCCAAGACCTCTATTGTGTGCTAGTTTGTAAACTTATGCGACTATCAAGGTCTCAATTTTCCAGGTCACGCTCTGCTAGAGTAGTATGGGCCTCAGAATCTCCACTCGCCATTTGCACCTCCAAAAGTAAACTCTCAAAAAACACAACTGCAGCCCGTGGCATGAGACCACAGGTGTGCGACTTATCTTCGTCGTTGCGAAAGTGTTAACATGCCAGGTGAATTTCTCGCGTGTGGGGGCGCGCCACACAAAAAAATAAGGAAGACCATGCGCGCGTTTTCAAAATCGAATGTAAACATACAACAAAAAGCAATTGTTTCAAAATCATTATTTTTGTGTCTTCTTCTGATCGACGTGTGGGAGAGCTATTTTTCAAGGACCAGGCTTAGGGCTTGGCGCTCCAAATCCACTCGTCTGTGACATTGACGACCCGAATCCAAAGCCTAATCCCGGTATTTTTGAAAATGTTGTCGAAGGCTGCGCTTTTTTCAGCCCACAAGGGGCTTGCGAGCCGAATCCAAATGGCTGAGCTTTACCAGGAAAAGAGCCGAAGCCGGCTGGCGTGGAGCCGTTAAAACAGGTCGTCGAAGAGCCGCCGAAAGCGGTCACCACAGAGCCGGAAGGAGCCGGCACAGAGCTTCCTGTCGATACCGAATTCCAATTAGTACCTCCGAAACCCGCTACGAACCCGCCCATATTATTAGCCGATATTTTACTCGCCTGAAAGCCACACCCAAATCCAAAGCCACCACCGCTACTGCCAAAACCAGCATATTGATTGGAAGGGGGACTCGTCGCCGCTGCGGGTCTTGAAGTTGAAGCCGGGTTGTTGCCGAAACAAAAATTACCGGAAGGGACGTAATTTGCCATAGGATTATTGACAAGCAAACCTACATTAGTATTGGAAGAGACGTTTGGAACCTTGAGTAAGAGGCTCGATGCGGTGCTACCGCTGCTTATTGCTCCAGTGGGGATATTGGATGAGGAACTCGATACGGCGGTAGCGGTGATTGCCGCGGTCTGGGAACTCGATATAGTGTTAACGCCGGATGCTACTCGTCCCGGCGGGACGCAGGCTGTCGATCTATTGTTTACGCTACCAAGGCCCGCCCCTGCTACAGCCCCGTTGCTTGCTAAAGGGAACTTATTCGCAGGTGCCCGGAGTGGTGGCATGTTCGAGCAAGACTGAGGCTGCGCCCATTTCGTGTTGCTTGAAGATGAAACCGTTGGAGCTCCAGTGCCCACGCCTACTGGATTACCACATGCTGGAGGCGTAAATAGAAAAGATCTAATATTAGCCGGCGGTTCGGCCGAGTCGCTAGTTGATGGATTGTTTCTAAAAAAGTTGAAACCTCCTGAAAACTGTGATGTCGTGGCGGTGTTTGGGCGTGCGACGGCTCCTTGAAGTCGTTGCCCAAGAGGGACCAAAAGCGGCTGCCCGTGTGCTGTACCATGTGGCTCAGGAGCATCGGTTTGAAGCTGTTTGGTTCCAGTACCCTCCGAGGCTCCTGCGTTGTCACTAGTATTCGTCGCACCTGCATTCTGCCCAGGAAAGGCACGCACGAGGTTCAAGCTTTTCAAATCACAAGCAAGTGGATTGCTAATTTCTGCGTCAGGAGCAGGAGGAGGAGCAGCAGGAGTTTCCGGCTGCTTAGACACACCTATCATTCCAGAAGGTTCACCGAGTGTGGCAATTCCGGTATTAGCGGTAAGTCTCGCTGTGTGTTCTGTGCCATTTCGGCCTTCAGCGAGTTCCGTCCGAGTATTCTCGGCGTCTACGTTTAGACCGATCCCGCCCACTCCCACTACATCTTTACCAGTATCTGCAGATGAAGATTTTCTAGTCGCCATGGCCGAAGGTGCTTGCTCTCGGCGACGCTCCAGCGAAGAATATCGATGCAACATGCTAGCCTGACTGAGCGGCGCTTCTTGATAGAGATCCATGGGCGTGTAGTTCCCGCCATCGCTCTCTCCAGCGTCCTCGGAGTTACGGTGGCTACCGTCGCATGACGGATTGTAGTCTTCGAATTGCTGCGAAGAATAAGCGCAACCTGCGAGGAGGTCGGGAGGTGATGCAGGCAGCATTGAGGGTGACATCGCTCCGAGTGCTTGATAAGAGCTAGACTTTCCTCTCTTGCCTTTCCCTTTGGACAATTCTTCATGTTCCTCTTCCACATCCTCTATCAGGTCATCGGGCTCGTCAACTTGGGTGTCTTCAATTACTATGACATCATCGAACTTTGCATCATCGTCGGCCTCGCCACTCCCCGCGACATTTTCGGCCGCAGGACAAGCATATGCCGGTTTTTTCGCGGGTGTCTTGGAACGTGCTATTTTCTTGGCTTCCGCTTTTTCTGCTTGTTTCCGCTTTTTCGCATGGGCTGCTGCGAAAAAGGGGGCTGCCGGTTCCGCATTGAGGGCCGAAAATAGTGAGGCATTCGAATCTCGCGGCCTTTTCTGCCCGCCTGCCGCGGTAAATGAGCTGCTGCTACTGCTGCCGCCAGCAAGGGTAGTACTAGACATGCCAGCAGCATTACTAGACAACACTCCACCTCCGCTTGTTGTAGAACTGTGAAGAACAGTCGTTTCTGGCCGTGTAAGATTCCCCTGTGGAGGTTGTATGAGGTTTGTTCCTGGTCGTGGAGCACCTGAGCTCGTAGCTGCGCCAGCTTGGTGCAGCTGCGGACCCGAAAAACCGTAGTGACCCCAAACCGACGCGGCGGTAACCAGGTCCGCCTGCCGCGACTTCTGGTACACCTGCAATCCTTGTAGACGGCCATCAAGCAGGTTCTTAGAAGTGTGCGGAAATGCTTTGACGAGCTGTTCCAAGCTACAAGGAAAAAACTCTTCCTCTACTCCGACAACCTTCTTGTTGTCCGAATCTACAACAATTCCTACGAAACATCATAATGGATGAACAATCGCCAGCTTTTTTCTCGACTTTCTTGTACATATGCTCATCCAGGGTGCCTGGGCAGGTTAGGTAGTAGACATTGACCATCTCCGCTGTCTGTCCTATTCGGTGAGCGCGGTCTTCAGCCTGTTGCAGCTGTCCCGGAACCCAATACAGCTCAGAAAAGACCACCATGCTCGCCGCGGTAAGCGTTAAGCCTTGGCCGCATGCGGTAATAGACAACAGCGCCACACGACAACTTGGATCCTTGCATATGAATTGAAACAGGTGCGAATAAACATCCGGTCGTCATCGTGTGCTTTTACAACTCAAAGTAGTAGAATTTATCTCAAACTCATTCATTGCGATTCCGATTGAAAGATTTCAATGTGCGCTAATGAATCGAAAGTGCAGACCAAAAAAATAAAAAGGAACGTAAATCTAAAGTAGGAACAGTATAACTCAGTAATTTTCATAACTTGAAAACGCCTCACAAACTCAGGACGGTCTAATTGCTTCGTCCCGCCGTCAATGCGCATGTAGGAGGCTGTTTCTTCGTGACGTTTCAAAAGCTCTTCGACTGCATTCATCATCAATGCGTGATGCGCAAAAACGATAAACTTATGAGGCTGTTCGGTGAGCAGGTACTCCACGTACTCGCAGACTGGACCCGTCTTGCATTCGGCTGTCAACTGGAATATCTGCATGATGCTCTGCTGAGAGGTACAGTTCTCTCCTGTTTCGAAAGCTGGCTCTGACGCTTCTACATTTCCACCGCCCTTCTTGTTCGGGAGGAAAAGGCCGTTTAAATTCTTACTACTAGAGGAACTAGCAGCACCAGGCTTTTTTTTCAGGTTGTTCTTTTGCCCACCTGCTTCTGCTGCCGCCACGTCCGCAAAGGCATCGCCAAGAACGTCTTCGAGAAACGCGCTGCTTTTATTCTGCTGGTTGTTCTGCTGCATTTGCTTGTAGATTAGAAGTGCCCTCTTGCCATCCTCGTGACTGGATCCTTGGTCTCTCTTTTTCAAATAGAAAAAGATCCAAGGCGAGTGGTGCTCAGGAGGCATCTTTGGTAACCGTAAGAAGAGGACACGAATTTGCCGACGGACGTGTTGCAATTTGGCCTTGTCGCACTTCGTAGGGTCTAGAGAGAGTTTACTCCGCAGTTTTGGCGGCAACTCCTTCAAGACTTCATCTTTTCGCCGGCGAATCATGCAACTGCCAGTAAGCAAGCAGTGCAATTCTTGCGGCCGCTTTACACCAGTGTACTCCTCGATCTCCCTACCGCCAGCGATGCGCCGCACCTAAGGTTCGTTTTGGCGGAATCAAAAAGGTATAACGCCGAAACTTATGATTCTTACTGTATTGCTACTGCCGCCAATCAATTTTAATGTATGACTGTGAGAATGACCCACCACGACACGAACGACTTAATCATATATGATCCACCCTCTTCTCGCAGTATCGGTCCACGAAGGTAGAAAAGGCAGGCATCACGTTTGGCATCAGGCAATAGAGCTGCGTATAAAGCTCCTCTCCTTTTTAGAGGTAGCACAGAACAAGTATTGATTTTTTGAGACTATAGAATCTGTGTAGTTACTCTAGCAGCACTACTAAAGACATATTGAGAACCAGCCTCTGCCACTTCGACGAGGATACTAGCCTCATTAGGTTGCTGTCCGTAGAGGATCAATAGTTCAAATTCATTTTCGTTCAAAACTTAAGCTTTGTTCAAAGCCGGCGTCCCGCTGAGGAGCATAACACGGTGCGCTCCATCGCAAATTTCGGTGACCCGTTTCGTGCGGTCGGATTTCGCGGATTTTATAAATTGCGACTCGTCCACCACGACAACCCGATATCGTTCGCCATCGTGGGCCCTTCGAAATTTCTCAGTCTTCAGCAGGTCGAAGCTGCAAACTACAACTTTCGCGGCGGGGTCCAATTTGTCCTTGCCGCTAAGCAATACCTGAACAAAGCTTCGCGTGGCAGAATCCCCATCGGCTAAATCATGAGTTTCGGATGCTACTGCAGCATCCTTCTTTTTCAATGCTGCATTTGCATTTTTCTCTTCTCCATGTCTTTTCATCGGGGTTTTTTTCATCCACGTGGCGCTAGCTACCGGCGCCCCGGTCTCCGCATCATGACCAGCGCCCTCGGCTCGCGTGTCTCCGCTACCATGGTCATCTCTTGCTGATGGTGAGTTACCTGGTGAGTCACCAAACACCTCTTTCTCCCAGTCGGAACCCTCATTGAGAATCAGTTCATCTGCTTCGCCTACGCGCGACCGTCGCACAGCAAGCGCATCAGCAGCTACTGTCCCCTTTCCTTCTGCGCGATTCTTATCCGGCACCTTAGGCTCCCCGGCCGTCAGGCGTGTCAGAACTTCTCCAATTCGCAGAGACGTGGCACACCTCGCAATCAGTCCTGTGCCGCTTTCCCCCAGCCACTTTAACGCCTGATCGCGCCACCCGAAGCGCAGACTGGAGGGGCAAACTATCAAGCACGGAAGCTCTTCGTGGTAAAAGTCGATCGTCATCAATGCTTGTAACGACTTCCCAAGGCCCATCTCATCGCCGAACAGCACACGGCCACCCCGCTGCAGCGCATAGGCGAAGCCGTCACGCTGGAACGGCAGCACTGCTAAAATTAGACTGAGTGTCGCTGGTACAATTCAGCGGCGCTACGAAATTTGAATATACCAGAACAACTAAAAACGACTTATTGTCAAAGCAGCTACGTATAACATCGAAGAGGATCGTGATACTAAAAGATAATGCAATAGTGGATTAATATCATGCACAGGAGAGTACTAGAAGAGGTTGAGACTGTAAATGACATGACTAAGTGTATAAATCCTCAAATCAACGACTTAAATCTGGCAAAGCATCTGCCAGGCGCCGGGCCTCTGCTTCCTCTATGATTTTTCCGTCACCCGACACGATTCTAGACGGTGCACCTCTGCTTGCGATGGATAATCCTCCTGGAGAGTAGAGGGTGATACACCTTAGCAGCCATGGTGGCAGTGGTTCACAAACGTCGAAAAGCGCATCGCGGACTTGATCGTACAATCGCATCAAAAAGCGATGGATCGTCCGACCTCGAGCCTTCTCAACCTTCTGCGCCTGATTCAGCAGTTCTTTCGCACGTACCGAAACGTTCTCGGGGGCGTTAACAACGTGGAAAAAATTAAAGGACTAGAAATTCTCACTCGTGTCATGGTAGATTTGTATGGCAATTGACTTTGGCACGCGACAAATTGTTGTGGGACCAAATTCGCTAGCTCTCGAATCGGCTTTTTTGCTAGACCGCATGTCGCTGCGATGGAAGTGCATATCTTCCTGATGCATGATGAAGACCATGTACTGCCATGATCAATTTTCACGCACCATGGCACAAATACTTATTGTATAGTCATGGAGAAAAAATGTATGACAACATGGCGCGCTGACAAGACCAACTCACCATAAAGAAAACACAATGAAAGGGAGGAGGGCAAAGCTCGAAATGGCCAGACTTTGCCGGCTGCTCCGCTGCTTGACGCCACGTAGCCACATCCCAGAATTAAAGATTTCGAAAATTCACTATCACTTCCGAAGTGCATTTTCTCACGATTTCCACGAGAAAACTCAAGAAAAAGTTCCTTGGAAATGAATTATCGAGGCTCGTAACAACTGAAATGTCCACACGACTTCTGTGGCTCATTGCGAGGGCAGCATAGGAACTCGCGGCCACAGTTTTCACCTGCTTTTTTCACCGTCCGCAGTACGACAGGCTCGCCGCAAAGACATACAAGAGGACTCGGTCTGAGAGACATACTTTTCTCATCGAAGATGTTCCATGTATATATAAATATTCATTGAAATTTGTAGTACTACATGCACAAATAACATTGCCGCGTCGTCGAACAAACCACTGCTCCTATTCAGCTAGACACACATCCGGACTGTTCTAAACTGCGAAAAAAAGGCCACGCTCGGGGTATGCATGCCCTTGGGATCTAGACTTAATCTAATTCTATCATATCTGCGGTGTAGCTGTCGCATTCCTAACGAGTACGGACCTGGTCGTTAAAAAAGGAACCGGAAAAATTTACGTACCCAAATATCAATCAAGACGAACGAAGCGGGCCTACTTCTGCTTGTGTAAAGTCCTCACGTGGGTTGTGCGGAGCTCGGGCGACGCTATAAGCCTGGAAAATGGACGCAAATATCATTCAACATTTGACAGCATGGACACACGGATGAGAGACTGGTCATAAAAATCAAACGAAGGAAAGCACCTTTTTCTTCAGGCCTGAGCTTGGAGCAGAGAGCTAAAAAACAGAACGCCCTTGCCGCGAATTTTTCGAATCATAACCCACGTGCCCGAATACCGGAAAGGCGCGTAAAAGATGGGAGCCTCTAAGAAGTGGCATGGACTATTGAGACGCGAGGGCGTACACCGGTGAAAAAATCAGAAGAGCCTGGCTTGGACGTGCTTAAAGGACTACTGTCTGGCCCCACCGGGGCGATGTTTGATTCCTAGTCGGCGACCTCGCACGGCGTTGCCGGAGTTTTGTTTGGGGGCTACCCCCCTCCCCGGACTGTCCACCGCGCGTGCACGAAGGCTCCCCCCGCCGGAGAGAAGAAAGGGAGGAAACGGCGGGGCCTGGGTGGGGGCAGCATCGCCCCCCATATCATCGCACCGGGAAACTAGTGGAGAATGCTCTTCCGCTCTCGAAACTAAGGGGGGCCGGCGCCTACTGGTACCTCCGACGGCGCTACAGCCCCACTTTATCCCCCCATGCAATCCCAACGCGTTGGTAGGGGAATCGACTGGGGCCCAGTGGCATCCGCGGAGCGAGGGAACGCCGGCCCCGTACTCCGCAGGGGCGACGTCGCCCTCGGTGGCGGCCTACGGGGAAAAAAAGAAGCGCTTTGAGCTGGTGATGAGCGAAAGGCCGCACGGCATGGCCAAAACGCGGTCCTTGGAACTTCCCCCAAAGTCTGGAAAATCCCGGGCTTTTTGGGGAGAATGCAAGCAGTGGCGAACCGCACAAGCCATGGACGCATCGCGAACCGGCCGCCAGGCTTGGAGCGTCGCGCCACAATCCAAGCCCAGTGTTGGGGGCCCGTGGCCCTTTGCTCCGCGGGCGTTGTTTTCCCCGCTTCTCTGGGAGGCCTTCCCGCAAAAGTCCGCAGATGTGCGGGCGCTTCGGGGAGAAGGCATGGCGCGGCGGTCCGCGCAAGTGCAAGGCATCGACCTAGCGCGGACAGGCTGCCAGGCTTGAAGCATCGGGCACGAAGCAAGCCCTCCGGGTGCAGGCTCGGGGCCCTTTGCGCCGGGGCCTTTGGCTTCCCCGCATCCCGGGGAGCTCTTCCCACAGGGCCTCCAAATTCCCGGGCTTGTTGGGCAGAAGGCACGCCACCGCGACCCGTGCAGCTCATCGCCTTAGCGAGGACTGGCTGCCAGGTCTGGAGCATCCGGCGAAAAGCCGTAGCCCTGGAACCTAGTGGGCCGTCCCGGTGGGGTCCCTCCTTGTTCCCTGATTGCCATGGCGGGGGCGGTAGCCTGGTTGGGACGTGGCGGGGCCCGCGTCCGTTCTCTGCCCTCCTTGTCGAGGGAAGGAATCTAGTGGGATTTGAGGACCAACCTCGGGCAGGCTCCCCCAAATCCCCACCCGCTTTCCCCTTTTTCCAAGAGGGCGACGCTGTCCTGAAACGCGGGCCCCGACTAGTATGCAAGCGCGAAGAGGCAGGCCGCGATCGCCAGCGAGGACGGCGCGGCTGTGGGCTGGGCCCTGTTTGTGAACCAGGGCGGGGACCTCGCGTGCGGTCGATGTCGCCCTCTATAGAGCCCTGCGGGAGACCTCACGGGGGTTGTGTTCCACCCCAATAGGCTTTCCCGACCGTCCCGCCCCTGCCTCCTGTTGGGTCCCTAGTGGTCTCCCTGCAAACTTAACCAGTCGGGACCCCGCGGGAGGCCAAGGAGGCAGGGGCGGGGAAGCCTATCGGGGTGGAACGTAACCCGAACGAGGTTTCCCGTGGGCCTAAATAGAGGGCGACATCGACCTTGAGGGGGCCTTGCAATGGAGTAGCGGCGAAAGAAAGGAGCGCAGGCAAGCAATGGCCGGAAGCGCGGAAGGCCCGCACTTTCTCTTTTTCTATTTAAAAAAAAATTCAAAAATTAACAAACGTCAACAAGCCCATAAAAAACATAACGCGTCTATAATGAAATCGGTGACAAAAATGGGCAGCGGTAGCTATTTCATTCATTTCCTGGCTTGCCGCTTGCGTTTTTAAACTTTCTAAACTAACTAACTAACCAGAACTCGAGCGATATGGCAGTGGAGCCATTGACTTCGCGCACCTTTTTGCACCTGTTTCCGCTCTCAGGTTAAAGCGCTAAAACACGCATGGAGACAAGCGCGTCAAAAGGTTCACGGATCCGGCTGCCAGTCTTCTTTCTTGGTAGGCCTTTTTCCACCACTTTCGCGCACCTCGCGGACAGTATCCGACCCGCGGCCATATCAATGAGGAACCTGCCCCCCATCTCTTAAGGGCAACTGCCTTTGCATGTCTTACACTAAGCAGCCGGATTGGCATCCCCGCGCCCGTCCGGAATCCAGCACGACACCACACACACGAGCGGCGGACGCATCTGGGGACTTTGGAGGGGCGGGGGGACTCGGCTAATGCTATTGGCACAAAACCAGCTTGGGCGAGCGGCTCTTGTTCTCTTCCCCACCGCCACCCCCTGAAACCCGGGCGGGCGCGCTGCTGCGGTGGCAGGCGGTGCGCTAACATTGGTCGGCGCTGGAGTATCATCGAGCGAGCGGGCGCGGGCTCGCCAGGCGCCTTGGGGTCGCTCCCCTAATTGAGTGGGCCCCTCTATTGTGTAGCGCTTCCCCATGCGCAAGGCCATTTCTCAAAGGAAGCTCGATGGCTCCGCTTTCAGTTTTTCCGCCAGGGCTGGCCCTGTGCGTGGGGAGGTGCTACACAGCCGAGCGGCCTAGTCACTTTGGGGCACCGTTTCAGGGAGAAGCTAGAAAAGCCGCCAGCAAATTTCTGGGCAAAGTTGGGAAAAACCTGCACAGACTGGGCCCCTTTCATCTGCCTCCGCTAAGTGGCCCAAGGTGCGAGCGGGCCTAGCTTCTCGCCAATTTTCACCCTGGTGCACTTACCTGAGGTAGACTGGGACAGGTTTTTCTCCAACTTTGCTCAGGAATTTGCTCGGCGCGTTTCTAGGTCTTTCTTGAAACGGTTGCCGAAATTGAGTACGTCTCCCCGCTTGCTGCGCCGGGTTCTATGCGCGTGCTCAAGCGCATCAGCCGGAAAGGCCTTTTTACTCAGTTTCTTCCTTTCGAGAAATCTAATACCAAGGGTGTACGAAATATGTCTCAGACATATCTTTTGCCATTATTTTTTGAAAAGCTTCAGAAATAAATCAAAGCCCTATCTTTTGGCCAGGGGTTTTCGAATTTAAAAAAGTCCGAGAAAAATACTGAAAACTTTCAGGGTTTGGCGCTAAAAGGGTGCTAGTCCTTTATGATAGCTTTGAATCCAGGTCGTCAAAGTCTGCTGCTGTGGCCTTTTGAGGTTCTTAAGATTCTAAAATGACCCGCCGAGGCGCTAAAAGACGCACAGAGGCAAGGGCAGAAACAGGCTCGCGGAC